AAAGCCCTCCACTACCTTGTCATCTCAACTCTGTCCTTCTTACGTAGACCTCCATCCCTCCCTATTCCACATCCTGGACTACAATCAAAGCAGAAGCCTCCAGCTCCAGGACACACCTATCGTTTGCTCCCCTCCAGAGCACTTGCTGGTCTCTCTTCCATTGGCCACCAGATCTGCTTCTTCCCCATCACTTCTGCTGTTCACACTTACGGTGTCCTGCAAGTCTAAGACAAATGCCACTTCCTCCCGGAAGCCTTTCCCACACCGACTCTGTTTCTGCGGTATTACATCCTCTCATTTGAGATGAGGCCTCCTTCTGCCTCGTTTTTGTGAGCATTTGCAAAAGTATTTGCTTTTCCCTTTTCCTCATTTGCATCTCTCCTTTCTTACCAAGTATTCACTCTGTGCCAAGCATGGAGATGCACAGATGTATCAAAAAACACATGGTCTCTGCTTCAAAGAAGTTTGCCAGTCAGATGGGGAGACAGAAATAAACAGGAAGGATGAAAGCTTCATGCAAGATTTTTTTGTTTTGTCCGCTACTCCATCTAAACTGCCTACAACAGTTCTGAGAACATAGTTGACACTCAAAAAACGTTTTGTTAAATGGTGATCTATCAAAAGTGTCTTGTGTACATAAATATATAGAAACTATGTAAAGTCCAGGAAGACCACCAAGGAGGAAACACTTCTGAGTCGGGCTTGGCAAAGATTCTACTATTGTTTTAGGCAAGGACTAGGTCTCCGTCCTCATTTCCCCACGTTGGTGTACTGAGCTTCATGAATTGTGGGTGCTTAGTAAATACACATGGCATTGGACTGAAGCTTCCTCCAGCCAAACCAGAACTCGGCATATTCGCTTTTCGTATACTTTACCCTGCATTATAGGACAAACTGGTTTTGGTACTGCTGCCAAACCTCTTTCCCTCATCTGTTTCCTCTCTGGGTTGACCCTGGGGGATTTGGAAAGTCCCTCATTTGCATTTCTCCTTTCTTTTTTTTTTTTAATTTATTTGTTTTAATTAGTTACATATGACAGTACAATGACCTTGACATATCATACATTTGAATCACATGAGATACAGTATCTCAATTTTCTGAGTATACAGGTTGCAGAATCACATTGGTCATGCAGTCACATATACACACACAGTAATAATAATGTCTGTTTCATTTTACTATCCTTCTTATCTTCAACAACTCCTCCCCTCCCATCACTTCTCTCTACCTAATCTAAGGTAGTGCTATTCTTTTTTTTTCTCACATCTTCATACATGTATTTTGTATAATAATGAAGGTCTCCTTCCACCATCCATGCAATTCCCTTTCTTCCTCCCTTTCCCTCCCACCCCTCTTCTCAGTGTAGAGGTAATCTTCTTCTCATGCTCTTCTTCTCTTCCCCTTTTTGAGTCACCCCCCTTTTATCAGAGGAGACATGCGGCATTTGTTTTTTTGGTGATTGGCTAATTTCACTTAGCAATTTGGAAAGCAGTATGGAGATCCCTTGGAAAGCTGGGAATGGAACCACCATTTGACCCAGCTATTCCTCTTCTTGGACTATACCCCAAAGACCTAAAAACAGCATACTACAGGGACACAGCTACATCAATGTTTATAGCAGCACAATTCACAATAGCTAGACTGTGGGCCAACCTAGATGCCCTTCGATGGATGAATGGATAAAAAAAATGTGGCATATATACACAACGGAATGTTACTCAGCACTAAAAAATAATAAGATCATGGCATTTGCAGGCAAATGGATGGCATCTCTCTTTTCTTAGCAAAGTTAAAAAAAAGGCATCATTTGCATCTCTCCTTTGCTTTTTGCAAAAGTGGAACGAGGACTGTCCACCCAGCCTTCCCTGCTAGAGTAGGTTCCCCCCCCACCTCCCACCACCTCCACCAGGACTTGTTTAGACTTGTTATGACTTTGTTACATAATTGTTAAAACTTGTGGAGTTTGCTTCCAATTTATAGGCCGTTGCTTTTTCAATCTCAGTTCACTCTAGACATGGCCTTTTGTTCTAGAAATGCCTGGAGTTGTTACTGTGTGAGGTTTGATAGGCAGTTGATTAGCAGTGGCTGGATTGATGCAGCTTCTTATTACCTCCTAAGTAATTAACTTGATTCAACAAAAGTTTCTTGAGAACCCACTATAGAGCATGCCCAGAGCTAGGAAGGTGGGATACTCCTTCGACAAGCTGATTGATTTTTGAGATTGTGTGTGTGTGTGTGTGTGTGTGTGTGTGTGTGTTACTGAGTAGGGAGGAGAATAAAGGAGTTAAGGGAGATATTTCAGTAACCACAGAACAAGGAAAAATGAGGTTAAATGTCAAGAATCCTAAGAGGACAGACTTCCCAGACCACGAAGCTGGAAGGGGAGTCTGGACATGTTGATGGATTTAGGGGTGTGGAGGATTGCATAGCCTCTCTGAGGTGTTTTGCCACGAAAGAAACAAGAGAATCATGAAAATCAAAGAAAGCAGAGCTACGTGGCACTCACAGCATGGATAGACAGCCTAGGAAAATAAGACTGGGCCTCGTTGGTCGTGTTGATGAGAAAACTCAATCAATGTGCCTTCCAGATACTCTTAGACACGGCCCGAGCAACAGAGACTAAGGCCTAGGCTTTAATCTTGAACTCTGCCTCCTAGGCCCACTCTGTGACCTTGGATGTCCCTCTACAGATCTCAGCTTCTTAGCTGGAAACCAGTAGGCTGCGTGTGTGTGGTCTAAGGCCCTCACCAGCTGGAGGTTACATTTTCTAAAGTTGTATCCTCTCTCTGTGGGAAGTTCACATTCTGGCCAGAGCCGGGTCTTGGCCTGTCTGTGGTACTTTTATACCTAGTGAAGGATGGATGAACCAGGGAAAGTGCAGGGTGAGTGCAGGGGAGAAGGGCACCATGGTGGAGGACAGAAGAGATGATCTAACCTTTAGTTTTTAACCATATTTAAGGATTTATTGCTCCTTTAGCTGCATAGCTGCAAAAAGAGAGAGAGAAAAAAAAAGAAATTAAGTTTGGTGGTTTCAGCATGTTATTTATGTTGTTTTTGAGTAGGGATTTAGCAATGTAAACCTCTAATAAACTGTTTACATACATTTTTTTTCCAATCCAGTGGGCTCAAGACTTATACTAACGCCTTGCTGTATTATTATCACTAAGTAATTTCCATTTTTCTTCAGTGTCGGAACCTGCCAGAAGGTTGCAAGCTTTATCGTGTGTCTTTTTTTTTTTTTTTACTTTGCTAAACTAAGCTTTTTTCTTTTTCCTCTTGCTTTACCAAGTCACTTTAAGACTCCATACCATATGTTACAAAACAGACTGCCCCATAGGAAGTGTGGGGATTGCCATTTGGAGTGTGTGTTATTTATCTTTACAGACATTTATGACCAAAGAAATGTAATCGAAAGAAGGGAGATGATTATTCATTATTCCATCAAGACCCTCCTATTTTTTGTTCCTCCTGGAAAGTTTTGTTCCCCAATGCTTGTGACTGATTTGCATGTGATGAATATCCCCACAGGAAACAGCACGACCAGCTGGTTGCTGCCTAGCATTCAGAGTGTGGAGACTTCGGGTTCCAGAGCCCACTGACAGTGGGCTCAAAGTTGATGCTAGGTTTTATTTTTATTTTTTTTAATTTTTTGATATTAGGGATTGAACCCAGGGGTGCTTAACCACTGAGCCACATCCCCAAGCCCTTTTTATATTTTATTTAGCGACAGAGTCTCACTGAGTTGCTTAGGGCCTTGCTAAGTTGCTGAGGTTGGCTTTGAACTTACGAGCCTCCTGCCTCAGCCTCCTGAGTTGCTGGGATGATAGGCGTGTGCCACCATGCCTGGTCTGATGCTAGTTTTGAATTCCCATTCTGACTCTGAGGGTTTGAGCACTGGAAATTGTGAGAATGAGTGAGTTGGTTCACTTGTTAGCTGTTTAAGCTTGGAGCTTCTAGAAGCTCAAAGTCTGTTTTAGGGGCTTTTCTACCTGAAAATGACAAATTTAATTCCTATAAAGTATTAGCTGTTGATGCCACTCTCTGCCTCCAGCTTAACATCCATCATGGCATCAAAGAATCAGAGAATTTTAGTCAGGAGGAGCCTCAGAGATGCGATTCAACCCATTTCTAAATACTAGAACTGCCACTCTGAAGTCTTGGGACCTCTATGGTCAGAAGTTTCAAAAGAACTGCTAGAAAAATCAACTCTAGAATAAAAACCAGCCCTTATACCTTTGGTATCTCATTTAAGGCAGATCTATTTTTGAGTATTGGTCATTGTGGCCTTTTTCTTTTTTTTTTTAAATGAACAACAACTCTGATTTGGTGGAATTTCTATGGCATTTAATTTTTTCATGAAGATATCTGATTGATTGTGAACTATGTGGAGAAAGATGATGAACTGAATTTGTAAGATTGGTTATAACTGTGAGAGAAAAGTTCTCCCAAGAATTTAATGAAGAAAACAGGGGTAGCTGTTGGCTCTTTTGAGCTGTTATGAACATATGCAATAGTCCTGATCAACATAATGATAGGGGGAATAAAAACATGACTGTGTACATTGTGCAAAGATGTGGATTTAATATAAGGATTGTGGTATAGTGGTTAAGGTTGGGGGCATGGTAATATCCTTGTCTGGTGAAGGAAGTGTCCTAGATCTTCCAATTATCAAGTCACCTGGTGCCTCAGTTTCCCTATAGTGTGCTATAATAATTGTGCCTCTTTATAAGATTGTTGTGAGGATTAATTTAGATGACACTTGTAAAGCACTGAGAAAGGTACTTGAGTCATGTTAAGGGCTCAACAAGCTTAAGCATTATCTATTTTCAACAAACACCCCGATTACTTGATAAAAGACCTTGGGACTTCTTGACAAATACTTGTTTACAGTGTATCCATTCACTCCAATTATTCCAATAGTTATTTCCTCATGTTCATTAAGATTTTTCATATTGCAAATATATACATTTGTAATTTTTACCTATATATATATTTTTCAGAATAAAAGCAAGAAAACTCCATTAACAAAATGAAGATTCAGCTAATCATAGTTGCCCTAATAATCCTTTGGACTGAAATATTGGCAGATCAGAGCCCAGGTACTAGTATATTTTATGTTGATTGTTATTTGGGAAAATAAATATGTCTCATCAAACCTAATTTTAATAAACAGAAAAGTAAATAATTTATTTGCTGAAAATCAAAGTACATGGCATTTGTTAGTAGTTGTAGTATGCAATAACAAACAAACTTAATTTTCGAAAGATGGTACAAAGCCGAGGCAGAGGGATCATAAATTATGGTACATGTGGCTTGAAAAACTTTGATTATTCATTGACTTGCTTAAGTCTCAGTGTTCCATATCTTTATGAACACAGTCAATCCAAAATGTTTATAGGTCAGTTTGAATTATGGATGAAAGTAGAAGAAAAGGAACCCTACACAGAAAACATTCTTAAGTATTTTTGGGGCCAAACTATTGCCTGCTTTTCCCCCCAACCCCAAACATGAAATGTACAGGTTGGGCATCCCTAATCCAGATGTTCTTAATCTGAAATGATCCAAAATCCAAAATGTTTTGAGCTCTGACATGACACCTAAGTAGAAAATTCCATACCTGACTTTAAATGACAGGTTGCAGTCAAAAATGCAGGCCCACTAAAAATATTATGTAAAAATTCCTCCAGATGTGTGTAAAAGGTGTATATGAAACATAAACAAATTTTGGATTTAGACTTGAATTTCATCAATTCCCCTTAAAATATCATTATATACTTGCAAATCCAAAAAAAGAAAAAAAAACCCAAAACTTTAGAATCTGAAATACCTCTGGTCCCCAGCATTTCTACCAAGAGTTACTCAAAGTGTATGTATATGGAGTATGAAAGGTATGTTTTTCTTCTCTCCTTTAAACAGTTTAAAGAAGTATTTCCAACCCTGCACTGTGCCACCGTAAGATTTTATGATGAAATTGTTGGACCTTTCCCATCATATCATTAGTTTTAGGAGCTGAGGTAATTGACAGAGGCTGCTGACACGGACACTATTAGTGCCTCCCCATGCCCAGATTCTAACCCTTCCCCAGCTGCTGTCAATATTACATGCAACAGCTGCAGCTGCCACTCACTTTCTGATTTTCCCAGAGCCTCCTTACCTAAGGAATTATGCCCATACCCTCTGCTTCCTCCTACTGATTTCTGGGGTACATAAAAACTGGTCCTCTTTCCTTAAAGAGGGAAAACTCTGCAGTAATGTGTACTTCTGAGTCACTTGCAGACCAAACCTGACCAGACCAGACACACCCTTTTACTCCATTCCTGTCTGATCCTGCTTACACTACTTGCCTCTGTTGAAGCCATCTACCTGAAGTCTCTGCCTCAGACTCTGCTACCAGGCTGTCCAACCCAAGATATATTCTTACTCTATGCTCTTTGCAAAAACTGCTGTTAGTTCTCAGACCACTTTGGAACTTTCTGGGGCTGGTATCATTATTGTTTATCCATTAGTACAGTGTTAGAATTTGGTGATTTAGAACTGAAAAAGAAAAAGTCAGGGCTGGGGATGTGGCTTAAGCGGTAATGCGCTCGCCTGGCATGTGTGGGGCGCTGGGTTTGATCCTCAGCACCACATAAAATTAAAAAAAAAAGATGTTGTGTCCACTGAAAACTGAAAAATAAATATTAAAAAAATTTCTTTCTCTCTTTAAAAAAGAAAAAGGGGGGAAAAAAAGAAAAAGTCAGTTTTCTCTGGCATAAACTGGAGCAAGAAAAATCTGTTGGCTAACTTTACAAAAGTCCTCTTATATGACATTTTAGCAAAAACAAGCACACTTTCTTTTCTGTTGGACTTCTGGAAGACACTTTCCTTGGTATTTTGCTAGACCTATAAATGGTGGACTAAAATGTAAAGGTTGAGCAATAACCTTATTTTTGTTGTCTTTGGATTTTGATAGGGCCAGGCCCTGAGTATGCAGATGTGGTGTTTCTGGTGGACAGCTCTGATCACCTGGGAGTTAAGGCCTTCCCATTTGTGAGAACATTCATCAATAAAATGATCAACAGTCTCCCCATCGAGGCCAACAAGTACCGCGTGGCCCTGGCCCAGTACAGTGACATGCTCCACAATGAATTCAACCTGAGTACCTTCAGGAGCAGGAACCCCATGCTGAACCATCTCAAGAAGAACTTCGGGTTCCTTGGCGGATCCCTGAGGATAGGAAACGCTCTTCGGGAGGCTCACAGGATCTACTTCTCTGCACCTACTGATGGAAGAGACAGGAAACTGTTTCCTCCTATTTTGGTGGTCCTGGCTTCAGCGGAGTCCGAGGATGATGTGGAAGAGGCTTCGAAGGCCCTGCGGAAAGATGGGGTGAAAATCATCTCCGTGGGGATGCAGAAGGCTTCCGAGGAAAACCTGAGGGCCATGGCCACATCTCAGTTTCACTTCAAACTTCGGACGGTCAGAGACCTCAGCATCTTCTCCTCAAACATGACGCAGATCATCAAGGATGCGACCAAATACAGAGAAGGAGCAGTCGATGTTGATGTACAAGGTAAGGAAGCCACATTGAAGTTCTGGAAGTTTCTGCCTCTGCTCATATTGTTTTCTCTGACAGCCTTCTTACAGCCCAATAACTCCTTTGTCATTAAAATCTCAACCCTATTCTCTTAACCTCTTATGTCTTTTAGGGTCTGACAGTTCCTTCCTTGTGAACACCTGTGACCGCTGTAATTCCCACAATTATCCATTTCTGTTTGCCCTGTTCCCCAGCAACGGACTGGTAGTGCCACAAGGGCAAAACGGGCAACTTGTTCTCATCTCTGTATTCTTTGGGCTTGGAAAATGAGCTGGTGTTCTATTCCTTAGTGAATGAATACATGAGAGTCTTACAGTTACAGAAATAAGATCCTTGTCTGTTTTCTTTCCCTTGTGGTCCTGGTTCATTTGAAGCACTCAGTAAATACCCATCAACTCATGTCTAGCGGCACCCGGTGGGAATGGTAACCTTAGAATGAGACTTGTTAGCCCATGCTCCTGTTTTGCATTCAACCAAGCAGAAGAGGGATACAAGTTGTGCAGTCGTGTGACACTGTGGACCTCAGTCTTGAGCTGTGTGGCGGCTCATCCCGCTCTGAGCCATTTTCCCCTTAGATGTTAAATTTCTCTGATAAAGCCAGAAGTTTGACTTATGAGCTCTCCGAGTCATAGGATCATCTTATGCCGATATCTTCATGTTTAAGACACATTTTTTCCCCACATTTTTACTATACCAACTGGTATAGTACAAGGTAGCCTGAACTCAAAAGATCAGGACAATGCCATTATCTGGCTCTGTGATCTAGATGCCTTTCACCAGCACCCTCATTTGTAAGATGTATGAGGCGGTAGGCTTGGAACTTCCTTCCTGGTCTACCACTCCTTGTCCAGTCTCATAGCCACAGCTGTGGGCTGATTGTCCCCCTACCCCAGTCAGACCACAAAAACTTTAATAACAAGTAGCCTTCATGAAATTATTTCCTTTGTATTATTATGTGATCAATGCTCAGGACACCAGTTGTCTTCACATTGTTTAGATATCTAAATTGATGTTGGCTTTTGCACTTTCAAATATGACTTTCAGTGTGCCCTGGGAATTGACATCCAGCTGGAGGAAGGGGAAAAAGATGGAGAAAGATCAACCCGGGTCGAGTTTTAGGGGCTGAGCCTGGTGGAGGATAATACTACTTCTGCTCGTAAGCTGCTGCCCATGCCTAGCTGCCCATTCCCAGCTCTTGGGAGTGGTAGTGGTAGTTCACTGGTCAGATCTTCGTTGCATGGCCACATCTAACGGCAAGAGAGGCTTGAAAATCAGGTCTAGCTCTCTGCTCAAGAAGCAGAAATGGGCCTGGTGTGGTGGCGTAATAGGCCTGTAACCCCAGGGACTCTGGAAGGTGAGACAGAAGAATTGCAAGTTCAAAGCCAACCTCAGCAACGGGGAGGGGCTAAGCAGATCAGTGAGACCCTGTCTCTAAATAAAATACAAAATAGGGCTGGGCGTGTGGCTCAGTGGCCAAGTGCCCCTGAGTTTAATACCCCCCCCCCAAAAAAAAGCAGAAATGAGGTTTGGAAAGAATCTAGAACACTCTCTTCACAGTATTGCCCTTCAGGTATTGGGGAGTACATTTTCCTTCACTCCCCACTTTGGGGAAAAAAATGTAGAAGCTATAGCAAGTCCTTAGGGCATATAGAAGAGATATCCCGTGGCCTTCCACCCTGGGGACAAAGGAGACCCTCTCTGAGCTCTCTGAGGGCAATGGGGCTCTACCAACTACTTAAAGATTATGTTTCTATCACTACTTCTAACTCACCTCACAGCAGGGTCGTACGACAAGATATTGCTTGGCCAGGTCCTGTCTTTGCCTTTTGGAGATTAAGATTTAGAGATTAAGAGATTTATAGTCAGGAAGGTCTGGGTTCAGACCCTGGGCTTGTCTGCCTCAGACCTTGAATAAGCTTACTTAACCCCTGCACTTCAGTGTCTACCTTGTAACACGAATGAGGTGACTTGTATGGCATTTGGCATGTGATTTACTAGTATCCGTAGTAACAACTGTTTGCAAATAAATAATAACCTGAGGAGGTCATACTGGGAGTCTATTTTACTTGACCGTGTGGGATTCAGAGTAGATTGGAAGACTTATAAGATAGTTTTTAATTCCACCACCAAGATTGTTGACCTCTCACCAGGTGCCAGGCACTGAAGGGATAGAGATAGTAAAACATGCCTCCGACTGCTAAGATCAGAGAAGCTAAGGGGTAGTTTGTTAGTGAGATGAAGCTTATCTCTTGGCTACACTTTCCACAGTGGAGGTCTGTCTGTTCTTGGAGTGGCTGTGTATGTGAATATGGCCCACTGTTCTTTAGAACCCAGATTCAGAGAACCAACTGCTCATGTGGCATTTCCTCTGGGATGCTCAGTGGCATCTGAAGCTGAGTAGGTCAGAAACAGAACTCTTGAGTCCTCTCTATAATGTTCTTCCCACTCGCTTCCCTAGCTTACAAAAAGACACCCCCACCATCCACTCAGTTGTTCAGGTCAGAAGCCCAGGAAATTTCTGTTTCTGCATATGCTGTCAACTCTTGCATCCAATTTGTTCAGTGTTCTGTTCACCTTCTCAATTATGTGTCAAAATGACCCTGGTTGTGCGTCTTAACTGCTTTATCCTTTCTAGAACCATTATCTCTTTCTAGAGCCATTGTTTTTTTTTAAATTGTTATTCCTGAATTCATTATTTCCCTTCAATAATCAGAAGGACACTTAAAAGATTTGAACTGAATCATGTGACTCCCAGGTGATCTGGGCTCGTCTCCCTCTGACCTCGTCCACCAATGTTTCCACTGCTTTCAGCCGCTCTGGGCTTCTTGCTGGTTCCAACCATTTGGTTTTCTTCCTATCAGAATTCCTCTTTCTTCAGATTTCCGCATGATTGAATCTTCAACCCAAATGAGTTCCTCTCAGAGAGGACTTTTTTTGACTTCTTCATGTGTGAATTAAGTTAGAGTCCCCTACCATTCCATTTCCCCAGCATAGTTGCTCAATAAGGTCACCTGTTTTATTTCCTTTCTAGCATTTATTACTGTCTGAAATAATATATCTGCCCTCCCCTTCGAATGTGAGCTCCCCGAGGTCAGAGATGTCACTGATAACTCTTGCCTGCATCCCAGCTCTTAGGAATGGTAGTGGTTCTGGTGGTGGTGGTTGTATTGGTAATGAAGGTGGTGGTCTAAATGCAGTTGAGTATGGCAAGGCTGGTAGTGATGATGGTCACCCTGATGGGGGTGGAGGTGCCAGTGGGGATGGTGATCATGCTTCTGGTGGCAATTATACTGGTAATGGAGGTGGTTATATGGTGGCTTCCATAGAGATGATGGTGAATGTCGGGTGTGGTAGCAAAATTGGTAAGTAGCATTCTTTAGATAGAGGGAAGAGCATATGCAAAGCCTCTGAAGTCAATGACCTTGAAAGTCTTGTTCAGAATTTTGAGCTTTTGTTTGCTAAGATAAAATATTGTTCTGCATCTGTCATAACTCTATTTTCACTCAGGCCTTTTGGAAATCAGTAAAGTACCTGTCTTACTCTGGGCTAGTGTTTTATCCTAATCATCATACTTTTTTTTTTCTCTCCATAGTTCCCTTCCTTACATCCTGTCAGAAAGATTCACTTGCCGACCTTGTGTTCCTGGTGGACGGGTCACTTGGGACTCAACAAAATTTAAGAGACCTGCAGAAGTTCCTGGAGAACATAACCAGCTCCTTAGATGTGAATTCTGATTGCATGCGGCTTGGACTGATGAGCTACAGCACGAGGGCTGAGACGATTTCTTTTCTGAAATCCAGCACAACCCAATTTGAATTTCAGCAGCAAATCAGGAAGCTTTCCCTTCGGGATGGGAAATCCAATGCTGGGGCTGCCATTGAGCAGTTGAGGAAGGAAGGTTTCTCACAGTCCAGTGGCAGCAGAAGGGCACAGGGGGTCCCTCAGATTGCAGTCCTGGTCACCCACAGATCATCAGATGACGAGGTGCATGAGGCTGCATTGAACCTTCGGCTGGAAGGCGTAACTGTGTTTGCTATGAACATCAAAGGGGCTAACAGGACTCAGTTAGAAGCAATAGCATCTTACCCTACAGAAGAGACAGTTTCCACCTTGAACTCCTATGCAGCATTGGAATCTTACAGTAATAACTTCCTGAAAAAGCTCCACAATGAAATATGGACCCAAATTTCTACTCATGCTGAACAAATTAACCTTGACAAAACTGGTATGTTTTTTAAAATATGTATTTCTTATTCTATAGTAAACTGAAAAGTTGCCTAGTGTTGGGGCAGGGGTGAGGATTGAACATAATTGGATAAGGGAGCTTTTGGAATAGTGGGAACCAAAACCAGATTTGGGTCACGGTTGCATAACTTTGTAAATTTACCAAAAAAAATCATTGAATGATATACTCACAATGGATCAACTTCATAGCAGGTAAGTAAGTCATGCCTCAAAAAACATGTAAAAAAAAGTTGTACGTGTTAACTGTAAAATATTTTAATTGTGTGAATGGATATAAAGAGGAAAGTAAAATCACCTGCAATCCTATCTTCAGATATTAACAATTATTTCTCTTTTATAATAAGATATAAGGGGGAGGTACTGGAGATTGAACTCAGGGGCACTTAATCACTCAGCCATATCCCCAGTCCTATTTTTTATTTTATTTAGAGACAGGGTCTCACTGAGTTGCTTAGTGCCTCACTTTTGCTGAAACTGGCTTTGAACGAGTGATCCTCCTGTCTTAGCCTCCTGAGCCTCTGGGATTACAGGCATGTGTTTAGTCTCTTTCTCTCCTCACTCACTCTGCTCATGCATGCACAGACCCATATAATACAGTTGTAAAAATTATATATCCGTGCTCCAACAGAACATTCTGGGATGATGCAAATGTTCTCTAGGTGCACTGTCCAATAAGGCAGCTGCCAGCCACCTGTGGTTTCGGAGCACTTGAATAGTGATGGAGAAACTGAATTTTATAAATGTAATTTGATTTTGATTTATTAGCCATGTTCAGGGTCTGTTGTACTGGACAGTGCAAACACACACAGTTTGGTGACTTGTATCAGTTACAATCACTTTTGGGTATGACTAAGAAATAAATCAGAGTAAAAGTAATTGAAATAGGATAAAATTACTTTCACTGCTTTACAATAAGTCCAGAAATCGGCAGATGAGTGGCCATGGTACACCTCAGTGTTAGGGACCCCTTTCTTTTCCTGTGATTTTTTTTCCTGTGTGTGAGACCTTTATTCCAAGGATTGTAGTCCAAGACAACAGCTGCAGGCATCATGTTCAGCGGACAAGAACAGAAAAGAGGAGGAAAAGTGAGATGCCCTCCTCCCTACCATTCTTCAAGGATATTTCCAGAATTACACACACATTTCTGCTTCTGTCCCCTGCGCCAGAAGTTGATTATATGCTACACTTAGTTGTAAAAATGGGACCTTGGCAATATTTGGTCTTTATTTGGAGTAGTTGAGTATATAAGTAAAAATATGGAGATTCAGTTAGCATAGAGAGAATGGCTTTTGGTGGTAACCAGTATTTTCTGCCTTACCTGCTGTTTTTTGGTCTCAGGGATTGAACCCAGGGGGACTTTCACTGAACCACATCCCCAGCCTGTTTTATATTTTATTTCGTGACAGGGTCTTGCTAAATTGCTTAGGGCCTTGCTAAGTTTCAAAGGCTGGCTTTGTACTTTTGATCCTCCTGCCTCAGCCTCTTGAGCGGCTAGGATTACAGGCATGCCTGGCCCCACTTTTTAAATCAAATTTACATCACAAACTTTTGTCTATTTCCTTCAATATTATTTTGCAATATACTTTTTAGGTTGGCGATAATATTCTGTTGTATGGATTTACCATAATTTGTGCAGCATATCTGAAATTGTGGGGTATATGGGACAGTGACAATGTTTTGCTCTTGTAAAAACTCTTGTACCTATATTTTTATGCACAATCACAATTACTTCTCCACATTTTGATCTTTAAAAATTTTTTTTTCTTTCATCATTCTAGCCAAGGACATCCTAGTTAAGATGCTTTGTGAATCTGCTGTAGTTTACTGAGCTCTTTCCAAAGGTGTATGCCAAGAGAGACTTGATAAGACTGAGCATATCTAATTCTGAGATATCTCCTGCCTTCACGCATTTTTTTTCTACAGATAAACTGTTTTTAAATAATTAAAAGTAGTATTTGGCAGCACTCGCATGGAAAGGAATTGCCATCTTCAAAGGCACAGGGGAGTGTGAATTTCCAGACACTTCTGGCTCAAGTGGCAAGCAAAGAAGATTCTAGCAACTCAGCAACAGCCCTCCCACAGACACAGTGTTTGCTAATGAGAGTCAAAGCAGTAGGTGCCAGCGTGCACAAAAGTGACAAGAGATTTCAGGAGATGTAGGCAAAGCACCAACAGTATCTGCTATAAACTTATCAGCCTGCTAAGGAGCTTGTTGATAATTTAGTGGTCCAAGCCTCATGCTAAACCTAATGAATCCATCTCTGAGGGTGGAGTTTGATCACATGTGTGTGTGTGTGTGTGTGTGTGTGTGTGTGTGTGTGTGTGTGTCTCACTTGGGTTGAACCCAGGTGCACTTTATCACTGAGTCACATCCCCAGACCTTCTCCTTTATTCTTTAAAAAATTTGAAACAAGGTCTCTAAATTGCTCAGGCTGGCTGTGATCTTACTATCTTATTGCCTTAGACTCTGGAGTTGCTGGGATTACAGGAGTGTGATACTGCAGTCAGTTGGACAGCTGTATTTTCGTAAGCTCCCTAACAAACTCATGCTAGGGAGTTAAAAACAAAACAAAACAAAAACCTTCCTACCTGGTCCAGAAATTTGCTAAGGTCCAGAAAGTGATGGCCGGTTTTCCAGTTTTAGAGTGATCAAATTGCAGAAAAACAACCTTATCTGACTTAGTCACTGCTTTATCCACTACATTTGGCACATTGAGGATATTCAACTGGTTAAATAGGATTTATTAAACCAAAGGGACACTCACATTAACCAAACTCAGGATTCTGATGTATTAAGAAAAGAATGGCGATTTTCTTTATAATATCAAGAATGATCAGTGCCAAGGAGACTAGACATTCATGTCCTAGAAATGGAACATACTCTCCCTATAGACCTGCAAAGTTTGAAGCTAAATTGTAATAAAACAAAAAACTGTTGGGGGTATAATCTGAATAAGAGAGTTTTCTGATTGAAATGTTTAATGGAATCTACATGGGCAGCTATCTTGATTTCAAAATCAAATGTATACATTGATAGCTTTCTGTATCTAGAGCCCTATCTGTATAAGTGATTGTACAGGTGAGGCCTTGAACCAAAGGACTCATTCTTCTTTAGTCCAATCAAAATGTGTAATGACGGAAATGTTCCATATCTGCCATTCGATATGGTAGCCACTAGCTTGCATGGAGCTGTTAAGAGTTTGCACGTGCAACAAGGAGCTGACTTTGAATTTTATTTAATTTTAATCAGTTTAAATTTACAAAATTTTAAGAGCAGCATGAAAAGTTTAATATGGTTAAAACAGATGAAGAATTGCTGGGAATAGGGTCAGAGAGAAAGGTAACAATCAAAATAAAGCCAATTTAAAAATTCTGAATTCTAAATACACTGATAAATCATTTAAGTAGAAAAATAATATGATCTTATTTAGCTTTAAACATATTGTTATGGTAGCTCTGAGAAGAGGAGATTATTGGGGAAGTAAGAATACAAGCTCATCAATCCGATGGCATTTCTCAAAAACTGATACAGCAAAAGTATCTAATGGGGCAGGTGTCAATACGAGAAAAACTATTTAACTTAGAGCCCAGAGGTTTGGGAACCTGGTCCTTACTCTTTAATTTACTGGTTGTGTGTTAGGTAAACAACCATGCCTTGCTTTGTTTCAATTTTCTCCCAAGATGGTTGTACATTTCAATGGAAAAAAAATGGACATGAAGAGTCCGATGAAAGGTACAGGCTCTTGGCTAAGGCAAAGAAGCCTTGTTCTAACGGGAATAGCCTCATGTTTCTCCAAAATTGTAAGGTTCTCTTGCAAGTTCCTTCCAGGTTCTCTATCATCAACAGAAAATGCTCCGTTCACTTTTCATTTTTTTTTTCCTTCAGGCTGTGTGGATACAAAGGAGGCTGATATCTATTTCCTCATTGATGGCTCTGGCAGCATCCAGGTGAATCAGTTTGAGCAAATCAAGACCTTCATGTCGTCAGTGATAGACATGTTCAGCATTGGCCCAAACAAAGTCCGAATTGGAGTCGTGCAATATGCAGGGGAGAACAGGGAGGAATTTCCCATCTCTCGCTATCAGAACAACATTGACTTAAAAAAGGCTGTTTTTAACATCTATCAGCTCAGAGGTGGCACTCGGACTGGAAAAGCTCTAGATTTCATACGGCCAATAATAAAGGAGGGAAAGAAGGACAGGACAAGTGAAGTGCCCTGTTTCCTTATCGTGCTGACTGATGGGAAATCCGAGGACAGTGTTGTGCAACCTGCTGAGAGACTAAGGGCTGAACAGGTCATCATTCATGCAATTGGCATTGGAGAGGCTAATAAAACACAGCTGCAGCAAATTGCTGGGGTAAAAGAAAGGGTCAACTTTGGACAGAACTTTGATGCCTTAAAAAGCATAAAAAATCAAGTTGTTCGCCGCATCTGCACTGAAAAGGGTAAGCAAAACAAAGATAAAAGGCTCCATTTTCCACATATCATCAGTAGCTTCAAGTAGGTGAATGACCGGGCTGAGTGGAGGTGTCACGTGATCAGTTGTCTGGCTCACAGTTTGCTAACTTCCTTTATCACCATGGAGGGATTCAGTTCCTCATTTTAAACCAATTGCCAAGACATGGAGAATCCCTCTAGAGAGAGCTGCTCTGAAGCTATCTTACAAGCAGTAGGCTTGAAAGAGACTCTATTGTACATGTGAATTGCGTGTGCATGTGTGTGTGCATGAGCATGCACAGATGCACGGATGCACGGGTGCCCGCATGCGAATACAATGGAAAGAGACTAGGCTTTGTAGATTAGGGTTCAACTCTGTTCTGAAGCATCCTTATCTATAAAATATAGATAATATCTACATTCAGAGAATCATATGGGTCAAGCATCATACATGCCAATCATTATTTTCATATTATGGGTACACATCTAGTACATATGCAAATGTTGTTCATTTTTGTTTATGATAGAAACACGTCTTGGTGTGGTGAGTGGAGAGTAGGAACACCAAGGAACCTAAACACGAGGGGCTACAAAATGCTAGCAAGTCTTAGAGCGGGCGCAGATGGAGAGAGGCACAGGTATCAGCAGGGGCAGATTAAGCTGCTCTAACAAAAAGACTTCAAACTAAAGTTTGGACTGCAAAGTCAAACAGGCTACTATACCCCAAATGCAGCTCCCATCTTTAGCAAAACTGAAATTCCGGTTCTGGAGCCCATGATGCTCAATCATTTTAGTGGCAAGACCCAGAAGTGGCCAGCTCGCTGTTGCTCTTATCTTTTGGCCCAAACTTAGTCACAGGGCCATGTCTAGTTTCAAGGAAGGCTGGGAAAGATAGTCTTTAGCTGGGCAGCCATCTGCCTGGCTGAGATTTGACTAACACAGAAGAAAGAGAAAATAATAGGGAACAAAATTGTCCCCAAATTGAGAAATAAGGAGGTAGATCCTGTGAATACCAAATCTCATGTTGAAGGCTTTTCCTTTGTCCATGTCACATGGAAGAGTATCATCTGCACCTCACCACAGTGGACTTTTGCCAAGGTCACAGACATCTCAGAGACCTTCCCACTGAGTGTTTTCAAGATGGCTAGAGGGCAGCTTGGGTCTTGAGTGTCAATCCTCCTGGTGGATCTAAGTGTTGGCTTTATATCGGTCATTGAAAAATAATTATCTTTTCATTTTCTAATATATGGTTGATGCTAAGTGTTTATTTTCAACATTCCCTGAATGAGAAAGTCTGGTAAGAGGATGGCAGAGATTACAAATGGACAGGTGCACAAGCAAAAGGGATAAGACCATGGAGATCCATGCTAATGACAATGTAAAATATGTGTAGCACGTGTTATGGCGAAATTGCAATAAATCACCAAGTCAGTCTTGGAGCAGGAGATGGAAACTTTATTCACCAGCTGATGGGAGGGGGCAGGCTGCAAGTCTGCACTTCTCGACCCCTCCCAGTGATTAGAGCAAATCTTTTAAAGCATGTTGGTACATTAATCATTAATGGCTGTTGCTATGATTCAAAACCACAAACAAAAATCATGAGATATAAAATCATAATCAGAAGGGGAAGTGAGTCAAAATGACCCTTGTTGAGTATGAGTTAAAGAATGGTTACTTATGTCTAGACAAACCTTAACATTCTATGTGATTAGGGAACATTGCACAAGTATATTGTATAAGAATTGCCATTTTGTGTGCTAAGCAACTGTTGGTGGGTACAGAAGCAGGTTGTTCCCATGAGAGAAGCGTTTCTTACATGACATGGAGTCTCAGGGTAAAATGGAATCTGTTTGGTCATTGCCTATATAGCTTGGCCAATAACATATGGATTAATAATCTTTTCTCAATACTTTATAGGAATTGGTCTTAGATGTTTGTATATGTACATATACATATTTTTATATATGCATGTATATGCACATATACAGATTTACAATCAATAAGTTATCAACAAATTTCATGCATAAAGGAACAGTCTATGGTGAATAGGTATGTGCTTACCTTAGCACTTATTATCCCTACTAAAAACTTTTCACTCCAATTTTTAATGTTGACTTGCATTGAATTTCTGATTCAGGGTTCTAGTCTGCAGTATTTATCAAATTGCTTAAAATTATCTCAGAAAATAATGCTATTATATATTACTTGTTGTTGTGTTTTCCAAAAAAATTACATAAAACCCTGGAGTACTTAGTCCTGTGATTGCTGGGACTTGATTACTTTGGCTCTGATTCTTTATTAGTGATCACCATTGGATCCCTTAATACAGGATCTGAGGTTCGGTATTTTATACTCCCTAAGAATTTTGAATGAATGAGTTATGAATAAATGGATTATGAATAAAGGAATGAAAATGATGTATGTGTGAATGAATGAATATGTACTTTGGAAGTTGCATTTCTTTTTTAAAACTCCTTGGATGTTCTCCCATGAATTTCTGATTCAGGGTTCTAGTCTGCAGTCTTCTACTAAAGATGCAAATAAGAGTCTCGAAACACAACAGCAGTTGCTTGCGTTAAATTTCACTGTTTTCCATTAGTGCCTTATTACTGTGGTACTGTTGTTACCTATGCTGAGAACCGTGCCGATTTCTGGTCTTTCCTATGCAGGATGTGAAGACATGAAGGCTGATGTCATGTTTCTGGTGGATAGTTCTGGAAGTATAGGAACTACAAATTTTGATACAATGAAAAACTTCATGAAAAACCTGTTGGCTAAGATCCAAATTGGTGCAGACAAAACCCAAATTGGTGTCGTTCAGTTCAGCGGTGATAATCAGGAAGAGTTCCCACTGAATAAGTACTTTACACAAAAAGAAATCTCTGCCGCTATAGACAGAATGTCTCTCATCGGTGAAAACACTCGGACTGGAAATGCACTCACCTTTGTAGATCAGTACTTCACCCTCCCCAAGGGGGGCCGTCCTCACGTCAGGAAGTTTCTCATCCTCATCACAGATGGAGAAGCACAGGATGATGTGAGAGGTCCTGCGATTGCTCTCCGGGACACAGGGGTGATCATTTTCTCTGTGGGGGTATTTGGTGCCAACAGGACTCAACTGGAGGAGATCAGTGGGGATGGCAGCCTCGTTTTCCATGTGGAGAACTTTGATCATCTAAAGGCAATAGAAAGTAAACTCATCTTCCGTGTGTGCGCGCTGCATGGTAAGTGACCCTGTGATCCCTCGTGACTCAAGGATGTGGGCAGTTGACTATATAGTGGATACAGTGTTATATTCTGGACGTGACCCCTACCTGGACTAGTGTTAAGTTTTGGTTTTATCGAAATGATATTAAAATACCCATCACCTTCCCTTAGCATGATATTCTCCAGCTCCAACCATTTACCAGCAAATGCCACAATTTCATTCTTCTTTAAGGCTGAATAATATTCCATTGTGTATTTACACCACAGTGTCTTTATCCATTCATCTGTTGAAGGGCACCTAGGTGGGTTCCATAGCTTAGCTGTTGTGAGTTGAGCTCCTATAAACACTGATGTGGCTGCATCACTATAGTATGCTGATTTTAAGCCTTTTGGGTATAAACCGAGGAGTGGAATAGCTGGGTCAGATGATTCCATTCCAAGTTTTCTGAGGTATCTCCATACTGCTTTCCATAGTGGTTGCAGCCAAACTAAAACCTCTTTTCTTTATAACTTAAAAAAAAATCACCTCCGTGAATATTCCAGTTTAACAACTTAGCAACTAGTTTGGCTCCAAGAGTCTTGCTTTTGGTGACTTCAAATATATTACAAGAAGTTACAAGAATTCTTCTTCCAAGAATTTTACACTAAAATTGCAACTCTTTAATATCTACATACCTGGATTTTTTCCAGAGCCAAATTCTGTTTCCAAATGATTTCTTAGAATTGTTCCTTGGCTGTCTATAATCACTGTTAAGCAGAAAATAATTAGACACACAAATCCGTCTTTCTTTTAGTTATATTAAACCCAGTATCTTAAGCAGTGTTGCTTCACACACACACACACACACACACACACACACACACACACACAAAGACTTTTATATCTTAAAGATACAGTATACATTTCATTACTTCACATTACTCTAAACTTCTATAAACTGAGTATTTTATATTTGCTTGTTCACATGCTACTCCTTTGGAAAAATTTAATTGTGATTCCCCCCCCCATTGTTTGGAGCCATTGTTTTTAACTCACAAATCGGGATGCTTTTCAAATTGTATTGAGTCATCATTAGTTTGAAACTATCAATTTTAATGCCTCTTGAATGAGAACTTGCTGTGAATTCACACAGAGACACCTTTGCTCTTAAATCTATCAACCGCCTATTATCTGTTTTGGATACAACTAAAGAGAATAAAGCAAAGTGTTAGGAAGCTTGTTGTGTTGTTCCCCTGGCAACATAAAGACATCTGTTGGACTTCATTCTTCAAAATTATGTGTGTGGTTTTTTTTTTTCCCAGAAAGTTAACAAATAAAATATCTCATTATAAACTCTAGGTTTAAAGTGATAGCTCTAAGGCTTCTTTGGTAACAGCTTAATCGTTTGTTTTTTTTTTCTTCTCCTAAGTGTGGCAGCAATTCCCAAACTCTTGGTAATGTAGACAGCTGTATCCAAAGGCCATGGCCTTGACTTTGAAACCTTCAGGGTTCTTGCTGGCATTTCTTCGTTTTGACAAATGTGATGATTGTGGAGACCCTGTCTATAGCATAAGGCAAAATTTCTGCCTATTCATCATCATCTATAAGATGGACTTGTAAATATTTATTAAGTCATGACTAGTCACCAAATCTCAGTGACCACTGCCTCAGGTTTTTACCATTATCACCTGAGCGCCTTCACATTGTGTGAGACTTTATTGCCAGCAATAGGGATTGGAGGTAAGACAGGCAGGTGGAAAGTAGAAAAACAACCTTTGGAAGCATGTGCTTATGTTATTAAGGGAAGGAGATGAGAGGGTGAGAATCTGTATATTGAATACTCGATGGGAGTGGTTGCTTGGCTTGTCATGTGGAGGAGAGTTGGGGAGTAGGGAGGAGGACACGGGAGCCTTAGCTCTTCCTTTACTTAGGGCCACTTCCTGAGTTCTAATTTAGGAGGTCAGTCGAAGGAGCCAAATAACCAGGGAGAAGCATGAGGTACATGGGAAGTCTTGTCCCTTGGAAGCTCAGAAGACATCTCGAGCTGAGAGAGCAGGATGAAAACCCCATCTTATACGATGAGCTCCCGGACTCTTGAAAGTAGCAGGCCAGTTTGGCAATCCTCAGTCTATCTCACCATGACGTTGGCACTCAGCTAGTTTCTGACTGTGACTTTCAGTTGCAAGCCTGACATCTCCTGATGGCAGAACAGACTGGTGTGACCTAAGAATTGCCAACCGTGGAGTCACATAGGTAAGGGCTCAAATGTCCTTGGAATCACGATCTGGGCAAGTGGCCCTTCTCTGACCCTTGTTTTTTTTGGAAAATGGCAACGACCACCCCTAAGGACGAAGTGAGATGGAGTAGTATTTGGTGCATAGTAGGCTCATGGCAAAGGTTAAATTGCTTCCTTCTTGATGATCGGTGCAGTCTTAATCCCCTCTTCTTCATCTTCTTTTTTTTTTCAGATTGTAAAAGGATTGAACTGTTAGATGTTGTGTTTGTGCTGGATCATTCAGGTAGCATCAGTCCCGAGCAGCAGGAAAGCATGATTAACCTCACCGTCCATTTGGTGAAGAAAGCAGATGTTGGCAGGGACAGAGTTCAGTTTGGAGCCCTCAGATACTCTGACAGTCCTGAGATTCTTTTCTTCCTTAACACCTACTCAAGCAGTTCAGCAATCATCGAGAACCTGAGGAGACGCCGGGACACTTTCGGGAGTACCTACACGGCCAAGGCTCTGGAGCACTCCAACATCCTCTTTAAGGAAGAACACGGCAGCCGCATCAAGCAAAACGTGAGACAGATGCTGATTATCATCACTGATGGGGTGTCCCACGATCGGGATAAGCTCAGTGAGGCCGCGCTGAAATTAAGAAACAAAGGCGTCACCATCTTTGCGGTGGGTGTGGGACAGGCCAACCAAGATGAACTTGAGACTATGGCAGGGAATAAAAATAATACCATCCATGTAGATAATTTCGACAAACTGAAAGATATTTATCTGCCTGTACAAGAAAATGTGTGCGGTGAAGCAGGAGAGGGTAAGTTGTTATTATTAAAGCTTCTCAGGAGGTCGCAACAAAAGTTCAAACGAAAATACAAATCATATACTTTTATAATTCTTGCCTTGCTGGTACCTGGGTATCACGGGATGACCTTTCTGGCTAAGAAAAGCAACAGGGTGCAAAGAGAGCAAGGAATGTCTCTGAAACTTTCTTGTATCATCCCTTTGACACATGCTGGGGTGGGAGGGAAACTCTGGGATCTTGCTCAAACAACTCATTTCTTTTAGAGACGAGAAAAACTTATAGCCCAGGTGACCCACCTCTTAGGGTCATGGTTGCCTTACCCCATTTAATGACTACTTGGTGCAGCCCTATTGCTTACCAGTCTCGATGCAACCATTGGTGGTCAGTTTTAGGCCAGATTCAAGTAGAGCGTTTCATGATTTAAACAGACAGACTTTTGTCTTCAAAGAGCCAAGGCCTTCTGAATGGTATCATAAGCATTCTGCAGGCCGTAAGAGGTTTTCATGGTCTGGTGTTCTTTTCTGGATAAGGATCACTAATGCAGAGGGAGGGATGGGGGAGTTGAATGTGGGGTAGTGGAGACTGTTGCTAGGAGCAACGGGGGGGACGGGGACTAAGCTGATCACATGAGCTGCTACTGGGCTGGGTGGACTGTGCCTGTCACATTCCAGTGAGGGAAAGGTGAGACTTGCCACCTGGTCTCAAAAGCAATAGAAATTGACAAGTCGTTAGGGAGGGCTGCTATGCCTTTGAACGCATGTGTGTATGTTGGCCCAGACCCCAAAACGAAGCTAATGAGTCAACCAACCTAATTTTCCTTTTTCTTCCTCCCTTCCTCCTTCCCCTCTCCATCTCCTTTCCCTTTCTACCAACACAAGTCAGGCTCCTAAGACTGATGTTAACTCACTCCCATCTCTGTAACCAGTCCCACCCCAGACAAACTTCCCCTAAATCTTGCTTCAGATCCCTGTTTTCTTTGCTGAGTGAAGCTGTGTAACGATCACAGTATCACCTTATTTAAATAAGAAATAAATTCATCTTGTTGGTTTCAGATATTAAGTGAAGGTATCATCTTTAACTAAGAGAGGTATGATCCCCCCCAACCCCCAAAGCAGAAGGATTGTCTCAGTTCTTCTTGTTCTTTCTGGTCTGTAGACTCCCACCCTGAAACCTGGTCTCCTCTCTATTTCTCCTGCCACCGTGCAATCCAATCTCAACACTGAATGATTTTTAAAATATATATATATATCAGACCGTGTCAATCCTCTGCCTATAGTTTTTTCACATTATCAAGTTTTAGCCTTTGTTTGCCAATTTCCTGGCTGAATGTCTGACCCCACGTTCTCACTGTACCTTCCAACTCTTGCAACTTCTTCGTGTTTGCACTTAATACATACTTTTTGCTATTTGATTGTCTATATCTGTCATAAGACCAAGAGTTCCATGGGCAGGCTTGGTTTCTTGTTTATGGTCAGGTCTCGCCAAACCTGGTACATCTCTAAAACTGTGGTCTTGTGGGAGCTGCTTCATTCTCATCTCGCATGCTTACATTTTGGAGGCAGATGGTGAGATGGAATTTGGGATCCAAGATGTTTCTTAGGGATACAGATCTGCAAAATACAGGGGGAAAGCAAGATGGACAGAAGAAATGAAACAGTGACACACACTCAACAAAGCTTTAAACCTAGCAGACGGCTCTGAAGCGAGTATTGCTCATGAGAATTGTCCAGCATCAGACCAAAACATCTGGGAACCCCCTTTGCCCTTAGTCCCCAGATGTGGGCTGCCTGGGAAGCGCATGACCTTTGGCATAGTATCTTTCTGTGGTGAGGCAGACCCTGAAGGAGTGGAGAGCTAGAGGCTTTTTCTGCCACAGGAAGATCTATCTTCCTTGAAGGTCTCTCTGGGAAGCCCATCTGCACCTACTACACTGCCATCACAAGGAGTTGTATGACAGCGGGCAACCCATGGTCTCAGTTGCCATTAGTGATGATTGCAATGCTGCACCTACCCTAGCCACTGAGTTTGTTTAGAATCAAGTGTAGAAAGTCATTCTTTGGTTTTGGGACATTTTATATTGAACTTCAGGGAGATGACCCATTAGCCCTCATCTCATGACATTTTAAATATTTGAGTTATGATGTCAAAAAAATATTGCAGTAAAAAATGTGTGGTTAAAAAAAAATTACGGGTAAAAAGATCTAGAGGTCTAGATCCATAGTAATTATATGTTCTTAGACAGGTCACCTAACCTCTGAATTCCATTTCTACATCTGTAAAATTAGAATAATTCTGTATAAGATGGTTGTGAAAATGACCTATGTTATGATATGCCAAAAATGTTTTAGAAATGATACTCCTCAATACACATGCACAGTGGTAGCATCGAGAGGAGTAGGAGTACTAAACATAGTTTAACAGTACTGTTACCTTAACTTGAGTGAATGTTCCAATCAGAGTATGTTGAAGAGACTTCTAGCCTTTTCTATTTTTTTCAGTTGTGGATGGACACACTACCTTTAATTAATTAATTAATTAATTAATTTCATGTGGTGCTGAGGATGGAACCTAGTGCCTCACACATGCCAAGCAAGCGCTCTACCACGGAGCCACAACTCCAGCCCCTTGTCATCATCCCTTAATGAATCTATTCGATCTATGCCAGCTTCCTACTTTCTTTCTGAGTAGCCTGCAGTCTTTTCCAATGAATCATGCAAATAATTACAACTCGTGAGACTACTGCTATTATTACCCTTTCTGCTATTTTTTGTCCTTCTCTATGAAGGCCAGTCAGTGATTCTGCTGCTAGTTTATCTCCATTTATTTATCTCATTGTGAAGCAATGTAAGTGGTTGGTAAAGCAATTGAAATACTAGAATAAAGAAAAAAATTAGAATGATTCATGTGGAAAATGATTTATTCTTTTCCTTATTGCAGTCTGTAAACTTCAGGAAGCTGATGTGATCTTCCTCTGTGATGGCTCTAACATGGTGTCTGATGCGGAATTTGTTACCATGACAACTTTCTTGTCAGACTTAATTGACAATTTTGATACTCAGTCTCAAAGAATGAAAGTTGGGATGGCTCAATATGGGAGCCGCTATCAGGAAATAATTGAGTTGGGAAACACTCTGACCAAAGCCCAGTGGAAATCGCGAATTCAGGCTGTCTCCAAGAGCAACGGGCAGTCTCGAATTGACTTTGCCCTTCAACACGTGAGCTCAATGTTTCATCCATCTTTTGGTGGGAGAAGAAATGCTGGGGTCCCTCAAACTTTAGTTGTTATCACATCTGGGTCTCCCCGCTACAATGTGGTAGATGCAGTAAAAACCCTGAAAGACCTTGGAATCTGCATCCTGGTTTTGGGCATAGGAGATGTTCGCAAGGATCAGCTTCTGCCAATAACGGGCAATTCTGAAAAGATACTCACGTTTCGAGACTTCGATAGATTAAAGAATGTGGATGTGAAAAAAAGAATGGTCCGGGAAATCTGCCAGAGCTGCGGGAAAACCAGTAAGTGTTCTTTATCTAGTTTTATTCAATTTTAGTTTCCCATTTCTCCACTTCCCAAGGGTCTGGCAAAGGCCCGCTCTAGTAGAACATATATTTAGAACAATGTACAATGAGAAGAGAGCTGTCCTCTACTTCCAGAAGTGTGGGATCAGTCGGCCTCCCTCAGAGACAAGGAGAGACTGCAGAGGCTGAAGGGATCCGGTCTGTGTCCTCTGGTCAGCCTTGTCCTCTCACTATAACCTGCTGTTTATGCTTTTCTCAACACCTGGCTCTCAATCTCTTATTTCTACTCTCTCCATTTCCATCTCCCTATTTTAACTTTGTCAAACCATCTTGTGAGGGACTGTGTGTGTGTGTGTGTGTGTGTGTGCACGCCTGTGCACGTGTGTATACATCTATGCACATGCATACAGTGTATTCTTTTAATAATGATGTCTATATCATCATAACATAGTAAAGATTTAAATTGTCCTTAGAAGTTGTTTAATCCAGGGGTCACAAATATAAATGCTGCAAAGGCCAGGTGGGTAATGTATGTGAGTCAAGGGGGCAGAGTGTGAGGACAATGAAATGGAGAGCAAGGTTCTAATGGGGTCGTCACTCTTCAGTTGCAGCTGACAGCAGCCTTGGGGGACTCAGGTTCTGTCAGTTTGGAGATCGGGAGGACAGCATGTCAGGAAACATTCCACATCTTGTGAAATCTGCACAACTTGCAGGAATTCCTCGGAGTATTTGTTTCTAGGCTTGTTGTGATGGAAGCATCCTTCAAAAGATGTGTCATTTTTTTTTCTAGTGCCTCAGATCTTTTACAACCCATTCAAGTGCTCAAGTGGAGGCAAATGAGAGAGGTAGAAAGAGCCCTGGACCTGGAGCCAGAAAGCCAGAATTCTAATTTAGGGCAGGAACAATAACCTTCATAAATTGCTGTCCCCTCATCTGGAAAATGAGCAACTAGACAGGATCAGAGGTGACCAGATGGCCACTTGCACATCATGCAGTTTGCTTCTTCTGTCCACACATGACAATTATTAAATTAATCTACAGCATTAACAAAGTGGAAATTTTATATTTAAAAAATGTGGATTTCAGATTCCTCTTTGAAAAATCAGAAGATTAAACAAGAATAGGCCCCATTTCCCATGAGGCTACTCTGAGCTGGAGCTGAACACTGAGCAGATGCAGGGGTGGGTTCTTGCCCTCCAGATCATTGTCCTCATGTTCTGCTCACTGGACTCATCTGCATTATCCACCTAGCCTTTGCAACCATTTGCATTTGTGACCTCTGGAAACTAAGATCTCTAGAAGAGTTCAAATATTTATTATGTTATGATTGCATGAATGAGAATATATTATCAATAAAGAATTAAAATGCACACACACACCCAAAACCACTGTGAATGAGACTACACTATGGTTTGAACTTCTAGCAGCTATAGGAATGCGTGATATTTGAAAGGGGACAGAGGAGAGGAACACTTGTGTTATGTGTTAGTAGAGCAACGAGTGTCTTTCTTCTTGAACAATTTTTGGGTAAGAGAGAGCCTCTAGACTCCAACTCTGAAGCATGACAGCATTTCCTTTTCTCTACCTTTCCTTATTTCTATCCACTCATTAATCTAGTCTTGTTTCCTTTCATCTCCAGATTGCTTTGTGGACATAGTGGTCGGGTTCGACATTTCCACTCACCTGCAGGGGCAGACTTTGTTCCAGGGCCACCCCCGGTTGGAATCATACCTCCCAAACATCTTAGAAGACATCACCTCCATCAGGGGGGTGAGCTGTGGGGCAGGTGCAGAGGCACAGGTGAGCCTGGCTTTTAAGGTGAACAGTGACCAAGAATCCCTTGCTGAATTCCAAATCTACCAGAAAGCAATATTTGACAGCTTACACCAAGTCCCCCTCAGGGGGCCCACTCATCTGAATGCACAGTTCTTACAGTCGCTGTGGGATACATTTCGGGATACATCTGCATCCCGGGGCCAGGTATGTGTGTTTCATTCTATCTCCCATTCCTTCCCCAGTTATATCACTAGCTTTCACATCATCCCATTCTTTGCTTTCCTCTTTCTCTAGGTGTTGCTCATCTTTTCGGATGGTCTCCAGGGAGAGAGCACAATGATGCTTGAAAACGAATCGGACAGGCTCAGAGAAGCAGGTATCGAGTTGAAAATTTAAGCAATGAATATGCAGAGCAAGTCTCTGTCCTCACTAGGGTGCTCTAGATTTTGGGATATGTCTGGCCATTTGCAGCAGATTCTATTGGGTCCTTGTCCAAAGGATCTTGATCAGCCCTGCACTCCTCCCCCAAATGCTGCACAATGCTATGGCCAAGTGCTTATATCTGTGACCTACCGGAGCATGTCCTTGACCGACCTGAATTGTGTATGGACATATTGGGAGTGAGGGAGGGATTATACCATGCCCCATCTTGGTAAGTTGGGCCATCAATGATATAGGGATACAAAAGACCAGCACCCTAACCTCAAATGAATCAACTTCGGTACAATTCATATTCTGGAGCTCCTCATGAATCAGGCCAACGGCAAGACTTTGCTGAGATGTATCCCTGCTTACACCTTCCCCTTCTTCTTTTCTCTCTTATTAACCATGCTTGCCTCTCAGATTAACCCCTCTCAGATTCTGCTTCTAGAAAGCCTGACCTTGAGACACCTCCTGTTGTTTCTGATTGTCCTTCTGGAAGATAGCAGCTCAGACTTCTTACTCTACACATTGTGTCCACGTCATGGTTCTGGATGGAACTGGAATCTAGGTGCAGAAGTTGAGAGGACTGTGCAGTGAAGTGGAGTTGCCACTCATTGTCAAATGGGAAGCATCATTTGAGAATTCTTGGTAGAGCCCCAAACTGTCTTCTGGGACTCATCTGGCACAGACAACCTCCCTAGAGGCCACAGAATTTTGGGACTTTATTTCTGGGGTGTGTTACTTTCTCTGTTCTGACCCCTTCAACACCTTCTCACTGTTCTTGGAATATGTATACACTTCCTTAATATGGGCCTGAGACGCTGCAGATGCCAGCCTCTTCCCCCACCCAATCTTAATTCTTTCCTCACACTCAGGGTTCCAGGCACAGAGAACATTTCCTCCCCCTCCTCCAAGGTACTTTAGAGCTTCATTCCTCCCTATCTTATGTAGAGCTCTGCCCAACTCCCCTCCTCTCCAGTCCTTTCCGTCTTCCATCTTTGGTTCTTTTCTCTAGACCAATTTCCATTCATCCTTTAGAATTAGCCTAAGCATCTGTTTCTCCAAGAACCTTCCATGACCCTCCAAGACTAAAGAGCTTCCCCTCAGGGCTTTCAGAGCACCCTGGCACTCCTTCTCAGAGCACTTATCTCTGGGGCGACTCTCTGATTCTTGTCCATCTCCTTGTTCATGAACTCCAATGGGAAGGGGTATTCCTGACCTACTCATCTTGCATCCTTGATTCAATGACTAGTACATAACAGGCTCCTAAGAAATAAATATTTGCTTAAGAACAGTTAGAGGAAATGAACTATTGGATGCCTTAATAAGTGAGTGAATGAGTGCATGAACTGTACGTGATCAGAAGTTCAGCTGAGACTGGAATCACCCTGGGCTTCCTTACGCTCTCAGGAGTGCTTGGAAGTGGAGATAACTTGAGAACTGTCATTAACTTACATACAGGAAATTTCAGGAAAAACCCTCTGAAGATGAACAATACCCCTTTTAAAAAAATCACCTTTGAATGCCCAAGAGTTGCATCTAAATTGGTGGTGAGATGTCGAACACAGTGTTTTTTTTTTTTTCCATTAGTGTTTGTCAATAGATTTGTAAATAGTTTCTTTTGAATTCTTTTTCTCAGGGACATTTCTTGCTAAAGTCAGAGACCACAGTCTGATGTATATTCAGAAATGCAGGCAAATCTGCTGTTGGCTTCTTCATATGTTGGAAGTCCAGCTTCCTCTTATGATCCCCACCACCCCTTTGGATAATGTTCACTGAGTGGAAATTCTGTTTTCATGTACAAATCTTTGATTTTTATATCTGCTGTTTTTACCAAATAGGACTTGATGGTCTGCTGGTGGTGTCCCTTAACACAACTGCTCATGATGAGTTTTCCAGCTTTGAATTTGGAAAAGGATTTGATTATAGGACTCACTTGACCATTGGAATGATGGAACTGGGCAGCCTGCTCTCACAGTACCTGGTGAGTTGTCGAAAAATCCAGTTATTCTAAATGCCATGAGAACTAAATTGGAATTTGCTATTTCCAAAAAGACTACTTTTGCTTGGCCCAGTAAATGAATCACATGGTCAATAAAAACGTGTGAAAGACCAGAACATCATGTTTTATAGTTTGCATATCATTTCATTCTTTGTTATTTCACTAAATGAATGCCTAGGGAACTGAGGACCAACCAACCCCTAATCAAATTATAAAGCTCCCAACAGTTTATGCTGTAGAAATTCCTGTTTTAGGATATTGTTAACTAAGAGCCAAAAGTCTTGGGCAAACTTGGCCTGTGGTCATCTGTATACTCTGTGCCCGTTCAATAATAGAGATCATTTCCTTTGGAGAGGGGATGTTGCCAATGAAGTTGTTAGCCTGGTGCCCTCTCTGCAGTATTAAGTTCAAAAGCAGCTCTTATTCTCTGAAATGCCTTATTTAAAGGCAGGAGGTAGGCTTGTAGGTGATGGATTGATTTGGGTGAATATGATTCTTAGGTAACAAAATTCCTGATAATTGTTGCACACCTGCTTATTTGTTCCTTTCCAGGGAAACATTGCAGAGAGGGCTTGCTGCTGTGAATTTTGCAAATGTCCAGGGGTTCCGGGACCTCATGGGAGCAGAGGACTACAAGGCTTTAAGGTACTATTCAGTTGGGATACTCTTTTTTCCAGTGTCCCTTGCTTTGGTGTGGGTGAGACTGAGACTGAGTGGTTGAATTTGTGACCTCTCCTTCATACTAATGTAATTGCTTTGGGCATTTCATGTGACTTTTTTTTTTTTTGTAGGAGCCAGTTCAAGGACCCGTTTTTGATAATGCTGCTAAGAATGATTCCCCCTTCTCTCAGACATTCTTAGTGATGTTGCTTGTTGGTTCTGCGATTTACACTTTTGTATTTGCTATTGACAGCCTGAAAGGTATTAAAAATAGTGGAGAGAGTTGTGCTTTATCAGCAACGGAACAAAATTGAACTGCAAAAAATCAGAGCATTGTAGATTAATAGGCCTTTAAAACAACAAATTATGAAAGATCAATCACACAACAACAGAATATAAATATATCATGGCATTTTCAATGAAATACTCTATAATACCCAATGCAAATGAATGAACTACAGCTACACATAAGAATGTGAATAAATTTGACCAACTTAGTAATGACCGAAAGAAGCAAAACATAGAAGAATACATATGGTCTGTATTAAAAATGGTATGATATCATTTATAAAAGTTTGAAAACAGAAGAAACTAAATATAGTATCTAGGGATGAATATTTAAGTGGTGAAATATTTGAAAAAGGCAAGGAAATATCCAACACACCAGGAGTGTACTCCTGGGGTGGAGTGGGGGGAGAGTGGCAGAATCCAGTAGTTTGTGATGGGAGTGGGCACTAGACCTGGGACTGGTAATGTTCTAATCCTCAATCTTGGTGATGAACTGCACACTCTTTACATAGGATAATTGTTAAAAATTATTGAATAAAGTTCATCTTATAATAATTAAGTTGAATTTTTATATTTTATTCATTTTATGTGCATTTTCAAATGTATTTTCGACATCACAGTAAAAAGGACTTTTAAAAAAAGAGATTAATGATAATATTTGCTCATGATTTCTGCATTATCCATCCTTGTGGGAAGATCCTTTGTATGGAATCTTTCTACTCTATCGTGATGTTTTGTTTAGCAAGGACTCCTCTCTCGGGTCAATAGAAGATTTATATTCTAGGAGCACAGCCTCCCTAGTAGACTGAGCAAAAGGTGGGGATCTGTGTTAGAGGCGGGGAAGCCAAACCTCAAATGAATCTTTGCCACAAATAACCTATGAGGCTGAGGGAGGGATCACGGCAATGTGAATATGTACAACCGCAGTGTTGGAAGTGCTTGTTCTAATCTGAGCTCGCAAAAAAGCAGGGGAAAATAAGATGATCCCTTTGGACATGTTATTGATTTGCCTGTTAAAAAATGATGGCAGTCACAGATGTACTCCCTGCAAATCCCTCAGACATGGGAATGGCCCTGTTGACCCCTATCGGCAAGGAGGTTTCCAAGGGTCACCCTCCTGCTGGCAATAGGAGGGTCCACCGTCTGCAAAGGGGCTTCAGAGATGAGTGCAAGGACAGAAACCAGCTCCAGACCCTGGCAGCCACATCTGCAAACTCAAATCATGTGGAAGGGAGGATCTTGCTTAGAATGCCCAGGAACTTCACAAGTTTGAATTCATGGGGAATGTCTAAATTTCACTTTTCTCTTCCCTCCCAGGGGTTTTCAGGTCTGAAAGGCAGCAGAGGACACAGAGGAGAAGATGGAGACCCTGTAAGTTTTTGAGACTTCTCCTCCTGCCACCTGCACATATCCTCTTTTCCATGAAAAGCTTTATGTTCATACAGAAGGGTAGTTTGGGGTTTTATTTAAAATTTTAATTGCATTTTTAGGGAAAGGCTTGTTTTCCTAAATCTAAGATTGGGAACAGAGAGGGAACGGGTTCACAGACATGTAGATTGGCATGTTTTTCAATCAATGTTCGGAAGCTGGGCTTCTTCCTCTCTACCCTAAGCAGGATGCAGCAGGTTATCTGCTGCAGAGTTCTCTTTAGACCTGAAATCTAGTGCTTATTAGTATGTGGCCTTCAGCCAGAGCTGGAGCATATGTCCCTCCAAGAAAAGGAAGTGGGCCCTGCAAGGTGTGGCTTCATGGTGAAATGCTATAGAGGTCTGTGAACCTCGGTATTGGACAGTACAACCAGAACTCTCACTTTGTTCCTAAACCAAATTATGAGTGGAATTTGGAGGAACCAAGAGCCGTTGGATGGTTCCATTTGGGATAGGGAAAGTTCTGAAAGCATTGTGATTAAATCTCCATCCCTTTAGAATCAAGGCCAGCTCCTCGTCTGGACAGCAAGTTTATAATGTTTAAAAGGTCAGACTCTGGAATGAGACCTCGCTGTGAAACCTTGAACAAGATACTTAACTTCTTGAGTCTTGTTCTCATTGTAAACATGTTATGAATTCCTCTAGGACTCTAATGCTGACCCATACCTTACAAGATAACCATCAAGGAAAGTACTCTCGTCTCTCACCTTATACCCAAAGGGCTCTTAGAGACCACCAAGCCACTCGGGGGCACTTTGAGTATGGGAAATAGTGTGACCCATTTGTCTGGCTGAGAGCCCAGGCAATGGGAAGTTATAAGACTTAGGGAGCTCTCAGCAACCTGTGGCCGTGAGCAAGACTTGGGGGTTTTTACAGGGAATAATCCTCTGAATAAAGAAAGCAAAGCAGGGAAAAGGAAAATCACTTGTCACCTCTCTTATCAGGAAGGGAAGAATTAGTTCATTGCTAAACAATTATTATTCTGTTGCAAACTAAGAGTAACTGTTATGCACCCAGACCCGAGCCAGCCATGAGAGACACAAAGTGAAAGGGCTGGGGGCAGGGGGCTTGCCCTCAAGGAGCATGCAGTTGTCCTTCTCTTGAAATTCATTTTACTCTGGCATTTATCATATTTTAATATTTCTTGGGAGAAGCAGGGTTAGTGGTGGACATGCACATCTTTGACCTAGAGAGCTCTTTCCCTTTTGACAGGTCTGACTTTGGGCATCTTTAACCTGGTGACACTGCCTACCAGGACTGGCTCTTCTGCCTCTGTGCTCTCATCCTTGCCATAGTGTCACTTTCTGTGCACAGTTTCCGCTCAGCTCTGGTCTCCTGGACTTGTGTCATCCGTGTTGACTTTCCCAGTACAGCATTAGGGAACTAGGCAAGAGGTCAGGGCCAGCATCTTACTGGAGTCCTAGGAATGTGGCTAGAAAGTGAAGTTACTTCCCAACCTTTGGCTGCACTGTCTGATGAGGGAGTGAAGTGGCTGAGCTCATTCTGCACCTATTTGTGACCTTGAATCTGCTAGGAAGCTCTGAAGACTGACAGGGAAAATAAGTGAATCAAGGGGGAAAAGGGTAGATTTAAATGAACAAGTTGCAGGAGGAATTGCTTTGCCTAAAACTTGGCATGCTCGTGGACTCTGGCTCGACACTCTGAAAGCAAATTGCTAGCAGCTTCTATTAAAAGTGTCACTTTGAATATATGTTCGGATTCCTTTTCTTAGGGAAGACGAGGAGACACTGGACCCCAAGGAGACAGAGGAATTGCAGGATGTCCCGGGATACGGGGTCAAAAGGTAAAGTTCTGCTGGAAATGCTATTTTCATTCCCTGTAACACCCTCTTCCTCTCTCCTGCATTCCGACACTCCCTCATTTTCTATCTTCCCTTCCTTTTCCCTTTCTCCAGTTACACCTATTGGATTCCTTGTTAGCAGATTAATTCTATTCTTAATAATCTTAAGGAGTCTTGAGCATTGGTTAAATTCCATCTATAACCCCTTTGCAGATATATAGCCAGAGTGAATAAAGAGCTACATAGTCCCTCTCCTTAGCAAGGCAGCTCCTTCCTGCTACAGTCTATAAATCCACACTTTGTCCTAGATACATTAGTGACAGATATTTATTCTTTTGCAGGGAGCCAAAGGATTTTCTGGATATAAGGTATCATAATTTCTTCTCAGTCATGTTTGATTTCCTAAAGGGATGAGTTTCCCAATAAGTGCATGGCAGAGACGCCCCCACCCCTTTACCTGACTGTTGTTCGTCCTTGTCTCTCAGGGAGAACATGGAGAAGATGGGATTGATGGGCTTGATGGGGAAGAGGTAAGCCATTTTTCTTCACATTATCATAGCACCATCATGAGGTTGAGACTTTTTTAAAAACAGGAATTTTCTTTTTCTTCTTTTAGGGCTTTCATGGGCTTCCTGGAGGAAAAGGAGAAAAGGGTGATCCAGGATCTCAGGTAACACTTTTGTGTACATCAAAGAAGGAGCATTTGGTGACAGAGATAGTCCTAATTGTGGTGTGTCACTCACTGTTGGGATAATATTAACAGCTGACTCAACAGCAGAATGAAAGCCTATTACCTACGAATAGATGCTGTATTTTTGTTTGGGGTAAGTGTGTTAACTATGTGATATTAAAAAGTTTTCAGCTAGAAGAATTCAAAGCATGTTAGGTCCTTCTATGGGCATGTTTTTCTGAAGTCTGAAGATGAATACTTTTGTCCATTGATAGCATCTGTGTTCTCTTTATGGCCTCAGAGAGGAAAAAAAAAAAGCAAGAGAAAGTAATTTTGCTGGCCTTGGTAGAGCAAATCACAGTGGAACATTTTTTTTTTAAATTTTAAATTCATTTCAACATCTATTAATGTATGCCTACTTGATTCTAGGCAACTCTATTTTTTATGTTCTTATCCATTTATTTATCAAATATTTTTGAGCACCTGTCATATGCCAGACACTGAGTTATGTGCTAAAAAATCAGAGGTGAACCACACAGTCCTTGTCCTCAAGGATCCCACAATGTAGTGGGGAGACAGATATATCATTAGGATGTGACTGGGGTCACATTGTAGGCAGCTGGGTAAGAGTCCAGAGAAGAGCACCTAACTCTGCCTCAGGGTGGGGGGTATCCAGGAGTATTCTTAGAGGAAAGGTTCCCAGAGTTGAATATGAACAGCAATTAGCAAGGCCAAGATGTGGAGGAAAACCTCTTCAGGTGAAGGAACAGCACGGCCAAAGACAAGTGGCTTGGGGGCGCTGCATGTTGTCTTTTTTTGGGGAGGGAGCATTAGAGAATAGGCAGGAAACCAGGTTCAGGAGGTGGCAGGAAGAGATCAGGATGGCACCGCTGAACTATGTGGAGGAGTTTGACTTTTACCCATTAGGCAATGAGGAGCCATTGAAAGATTTTTGAGCAGAAGTATCATGATTAAATTTGCATTTTAGAAATATTACTTGACAGTAGTGTAGAAGTTGTGTTGGAGATGACTTGGATGCAAGGAAGGATGAGAGGTGGATCTATAGTAATGGAGATGAGGAGGGACAAAGCCTTCAAGTGAAGCAATGGCATAAGAATGTCTGTCTATAGGACAGTAAGAACATAGCAGGGTGCAGGCTGGGGTGCAGCAAGCAGGGCACCCTGGAGGGGAAAGGAGGCACTCACTGTCAGGGTTAGGCAGAGGGGGTTCCCCTCTAAATTTTGTACCCTAGGAGCCTCTCTTGGCTTACCCTAGTCCTGGCTCTGGGACATAAGATATCCAGGTCAAGGTGACCAGAGGAGTAGGACATGGGGAGTTGGTTTAAATGCCTGCAAGGATCCTGGCTTGGGCAAGTTTAGTTGGGAACAGTTAGTTTCAGGTGAAAACAGAAAATCCCTGTAGAAGTTTTCAGTGGGAAATTTGATTATAGATGTCAGAAGTTGCTAGATGGACTAGATGTCCAGTACAGTAGCCACCAGCCATATGGAATTAAATTTAAATTAATTAAAATTAAAAATTCCACTTACCACTTTTCAGGTGTTCAATAGTGACTACCATAATGAACAGTGCAGATACAGAACATTTCCTGCACTGCAGAGCATCTTTAGTCCAATGCTAGTCGTCTAGATGCTTTTCACAACAAACATCCTGACCATAGGCTTAAAAATGAACTTGAGAAGTCTGCAGGAACCTGGCTGAGATAGAAGAACATGGAGCATTGTATATGGCAGATTACCCTCCCCACCACACCATACACTGCTTGACATTTAACATCATTATAAATGTCTCCTACAAGCTAACACAGAAGCTGGTTTTATTTTATTTTATTTTATTTTATTTTTCAGGGCAGCCCAGGTTCCAGAGGTCCACCTGGGGGAGATGGAGAGAAGGGCTTCCCAGGGGATCCTGTAAGTTCCTAAAGTCCAGTGGCTTCTGAATTGTTTGCTTCCTCCCCAGTTCCGTCTCTTTTCCCTTTGTGTCTCCTGCTAACCTATAGGCAAATGCTTGTCTTAGGAGTTGGGTGGTAGGTGTTGACTGAGGCTTCTTTGGGAAAAATTCGTCCTTGACTGATCTGGCCTGATTATTTGAAAGGTTCAGAACTAGAAACTAAATTTCTATCTTAGGAATCCTTTTGATATGTTAAGACTTTCAGTTTCCTTTAGAGAGATGTTTCCATAGAGTTGTGTGTTGGACTACTAATCTTGCTGACCTGTAGTCTCCCTATTTGTAGATTCAATTACAGGAGAATCTTATTATGCTTTTGAGGGAATGGTCTAAGAATTTTTGGACCAGTGCATCAATGAGGCTGCCATTACAGGGGAAATCACTATATAGTAAGGACTCTTATGATTCTTCATTTATCACTATGTTTCCTTCAAACTGGGGAAGTATTGTTTGCATACTTTAAAAAATCCTAAGTTTCAAATTGGAGAATTTTCTCACACTTCTTGTCCCTTAACCTTAGTAGTTTAACAGCATACCATTTGGGGTGAGGAAGCTGATATTTTTGGATTCTAAATTACTTTTAAAATCTTCTTCTAGGGTAATCCAGGCCGAAACAGTAACATCAAAGGAAGAAAGGGCTCCAAAGGAGAACAAGGAAGACAAGTAATTGGATCTATTTTACATATATGAGTTGATTAACTTCATTATTGAGCTAAGCAAAAAATTAGTAAAATGCATAACCCTTCTGTAATTGAACACACATATCTATGTTTAAAGGGGCCTTATTTTGTTAAAATAAGTCATGTTCATGGCACATTACATTTTTACGGGAAAATTATTAAATCTCTGGCAAGTGATGTCATTTGGGAAAACTTGGAGTGGCAGGATATGTTCCTGTACCTTTTTCTTCCTTAATGACTATCTAACCAGCAGCATTAATATACAGAATGATTCTAGCATGACACTTTCATTTTGCTGTTTTAATAATATTTGATGATTATTGCTGATACCTCTAAATACTCAGAATCTTTTGCCTTATGATCTTGGGGGAATGATTGTGTTTTTAGGGTACAACTGGGCAGAAGGGTGCACAAGGAAGTCCTAGTTCCAGAAGAAGCCGGGTAAGTGTTTCTGCAGACACTTATTTTCCCTCCTATCCTTTGGAGATTCCATAGAGGCTTTCAAGTTATTTGTTGCTACAGAGTCATCTGATTCCAGGGACCACACATTTTCAGGGGTTCTAACTCTTGGCACTGTTGACATTTGGGGCCAGACAATGCTTTGTGGGGGCCCTAGACATTGGGGGTGTTTTGCAACATTTCTGATCTCTACCTACTGCATGTCAGTAGCACCACCCCAAACCCCTCTCTATTTGTGACATCTTCAGATATTGTCATATGTCTGTGGAGATATTGTGGGGGGTGGGAATGGGAGTCAAAAATCTCCCCAGATGAGAAACACTGTGATAGAGTCCGCCTTTCCCTTTCCACCTTCCAGAAGCTTTTGAATATCTTTGAAGAGAGTTGATCACTTGAGCATAAACGCCCTCCCCTAGCATCTGAGCATCTGTGAGCTATGTCAGAATAGTGTGAATTTGGGAGATTACATACTTTCTCTTTACATGTTGCCAATGGAAAAGAGGAATCACAAATAAATTCTTCTTGAATGGACCAAAACACTGGTGATTAGGGTCAACTCAGGGGCCACTTCAATGTCCTAGGGTAACTTGATAGCTTCCATATGATATCAAGCCTATCACGGCAAAAACAGGGGCATTAGATTTCCTGATATTTGAAAAGAACAACCAAGAAATCACCTTTCCCGCTATGAACTACTAAAGTTAGGGACGATATTTGTAATGTCAGAAACTCCTTGGTCTCGTGCTCAGTGTGGACATCATGAAAAGAGAATAATGGGCAAAGTTCTTGGTTTTGGCAGTCTTGTGCAAGAGGGAACTGAATGTATTTGGCTTTCTTTTCTATTATAAATTTGGAATCTTTTCATCTTTCCTGTGGGCTGCTGCTTGCTCGCCCTTCTTTCTAGGATACATAGAGGAGATAGTTTTCTGCTGCCTCTTGCCTTTGTTGATCATTTTTAAAAAAATGTTTAATTTTTTATTTCTCTTTGGTGCTGAGGATTGAACCCAGTGCCTCACATGTGCTAGGCAAGTGCTCTACCACTGAGCTACAGCCCCAGGCCCTCTTTTGTTGATCTTGAATCATGTTGAGGAAGGGAAAGGATGTGAAATCCAATGACTGAGGCTTCCCAGTGCTTCTGGGGACGTTCTTTGGAACTTTGCCCTTTTCTCCATATAAGAGAATTCAAATCTAATAAGAGGAAGCAGTAAAGCAGCAAGATCAGCTAAATGTAATAAATTGATTTTTTTAAAAAAAATTTTACACAAATAGAGCACAACTTTTCATTTTTATGGTTGTACATGATGTAGGGTCACAGCATTTGTGCAATCATACCTATGCATAGGGGTAATAATGTCCATCTCATTTCTCCATCTCCCCACTACACACTCCCTCCCTTGCCCTCCCTCCCCTCTGCTCAATCTAAAGTTCCTCTGTTCTGCCCCTCTTGGGTCAACATCCACTTATCAGAGAAACCATTTGGCCTTTGGTTTGGGGGATTGGCTTACTTCCACTTAGCATGATATTCTCCAACTCCGTCCATTTACCTGTAAATGCCATGATTTCTTTCTTCTTTAAGGCTGAATAATCTTCTATTGTGTATATATACCACAGTTTCTTTTTCTATTCATCTACTGAGGGGCATCTAGGCCGATTCCACAGTTTATCTATTGTGAATTAAGCTGCTATAAACATTGAGGTGGCTGCATCGCTGTAGCATGCTGCTTTTAAGTCCTTTGGGTATAACCCTGGAAGTGGGATAACTGGGTCAAATGGTGGTTCCATTCCAAGTTTTTTAAGGTGTCTCTATACTGCTTTCCAAAATGGTTGTACCATTTTGCAATCCCACCAGCAATGAATAAGTGTACCTTTTCCCCCACATCCTTGCCAGCACTTATTGGTGCTTGATTTTTTTGATAATTGCCATTCTGACTGGAGTGAGAGGAAATCTTAAGAGTAGTTGATTTGCATTTCTCTAATTGCTAGTGATGTTGAACATTTTTTCATAAATTTGCTGATCACTTGTATATCTTCTTCTCTGAAGTGCCTGCCCATTTCCTTAAACCATTTATTGTTTAGATTATTATTATTTTTTAGATTAAGATTTTAAAGATACATATGTATTATTGGCTTAAGAGAAAATACTTTCAATATGATGGAGCTTTATAACTGATACATTAATCAGGCACTTTCAAAAAAGAGGTGCTGGGGTAGGGTAGGGGTCATCCTTGGATAGGCTAGTCAATGACTTTTAAGTCACTCTAAGGACTGGAGGTTCTCAGTCCCCTCCTCCTCTTTTACCAAACTTTCCTGCTGATTGGCTCCTTTATGACTTCTTTTCTTTGGAATTAAATAATGCAGTGTTGACTTAGGAACACATGAAGCTTTTTGACCCTCTCCACCACCCTTCCAACGAAGGACAGAATTCTGCACGAGGGTCAGAGCCTCTTAAACGCTGTCAGATTCTGAACTACACAACTAGACTCCAGACGTTGCCTCCTGCATGACAGAATTTCAACTTGTATAAAGGTATAAATTAAATGTAGCATCAGCTGTCACTACAACTATGGATCAGCTCACTGGAACATACACTTAAAAAAAAAAAAGAAAAAAAAATACACTTGAATGTGTATTCCAGTCCTGTTACCTTTTGCCTGCCACACAGGAAGAATCCTTACAAATATTTATATTTATCCTGTGTTTTGTACCAGGTCCATCTATTTCAAATATTAATTTGCTTAAGCCTGATACTATGTCCATGAGGCAGATAACTATTGTTATATCCATATTACAGATGAGAACATCAAGGAGCTATAGGCAATATGCCCAAAGTTACAACAGCTAATAAGTGGCAGAGCTGGAATTTGCACTTAGATGTCTTACTTCAGAGACTGGGCGCCCGGCCACCCCGGGTGAGATTCATTGTGTAGGTGTCTTGTGTCTCACAGGCTTAAAGAGTAGAGCTGAGTTCAAGACTACCTGACTTCTAGGTTACATGCAACAAACATTTTATCCTGGGTTTTTAATGGAGACAGAATTGAGAGATCATAGAAAGAGTAGCCTCCATCTCTAGTCACATCTGGCTACAATCAGCTGATAAGTCACCTTGGGCAACTTCTCCTAAAGTGCATTTGCATTTTAAAAGGAGAGTATCTTGAGTCAAAGGGCAGAACTTTAATGGAAAAATTCTAGCCATCTGTCAGACTGGTGGAGATGGTATTTGGGCAGGGTGTTTATTCTAAGAAACTTCAGGTAGTGGACAGTCAAAAGGAAATGGCAGGGGCTGGGGATGTGGCTCAAGCGGTAGCGTGCTCGCCTGGCATGCGTTCGGCCCAGGTTCGATCCTCAGCACCACGGATACAAGCAAAGATGTTGTGTCTGCCGAGAACTAAAAAACAAATGCTAAAAAAATTCTCTCTCTCTCTCACTCTCTCTTTTTTTTTTAAAAAAAAGGAAATGGCAGTATGGAAATAATTTCTATGCCGCAAATGAATTAATAGAGTTGTTTTAAGTATTTGTTTTGTGCCTAGAGGAATCATAAGTTTGTTTATCTTAGCACAAAGTGAATGGGAGGTCGAGAAGTTTCCAGAGTACTCTTAAAGGTGTGGGGATTGTGGTGGTGTGAGTGGGCAGATTTTTATTGTATTTTAAGGGAAAAGAAATAGGAGTCTGGGACCTGAATCATCTGGCTTGGTCACCTCTGGGAAGGGCAGATGATGCCCCTAGGTGGCTACTCTGGTAAGGAGCAGACAGGTGGGGCTTGAGGGATCAGCCTGGCTATTCTCTGGTGAACCTGGTGGTAACATCTGGACCATCACAGAGTGCAGGGGATGCTGTCAGCCACTTTCTTCCTGTAGAATCCCATAGAGGCAAACTTTAGGTGCCCATAGGAAATCCCTATGTCCAGCAGCTTCACTCTTTGCTAAGGTATACTCAGAAGCCCAAGGCAGAGAGACAGATATGACATTCTTGTTCTCTGTGGGGAATTCATATAGAGTGCTTTGTGGGTTTGCCTGAGAGGCAGTATTAGAAGACAATTCTTTGGGGGGTGATTTGATTCTTCAAACAGCCTCCTGAGTATTAATTACCAACATAATATTAAGGTCAGAGGTCGTCAGACTGGCGGCTGATCTGTGATGACATTTAGATTAGTTTGCAATCAATCCCCCAAATGTTGGTCTACAATGAAGTACCCAGTGTGAAATCTTGTGTGTGGAAAGTGCCTCACTTTTCGTGAGCTGCTCACTACTTATGTCAATCAAGGAGTGAGAGAGACTGGTTGCCTATAGGAGCCCCTCCATCCAGACACACTGACAATTTTGTCTGTTCTGTTCCAGGGACTGGAAGGCCGAAGGGGGTCCCCAGGTGCCCCGGTAAGTACCCTTTATTTCCTGTCTTCTAGGGTAGAGGAGACCAAGAACATTTCTCCTATGCAGATGGTGCTGGGATAAATGCATATTTGACGAGGGTGCTGTGGGAAGTGCCCTGCACTGGATGTGATCCCCACCAACAAGTAGGAAACACAACCAATAATTCAACCTCCAAAAAACAGGATAGGCCTGATCAAGGGCAAAACCTTCAAAGATGCCTTGCAGATAAGAATTCTCGCACAATTCCAAGTGCTGTGAATTTGACTGATTTGCATGTGCATTTGGGAATTAATGTACATGAGAGTGAAATTCTTTTTAAAAATAAGAAAGAAGTTTTGTGTTCATTCCTTGGGCAATCTGGAAGAAAAAAAATCCTAGGCAAAGTAGGGGGTAAGCCTCTAGTCAAATAATATAGTACCTATGTCCTACCTATGTCCTACATACCATAAAGAGAAAATCTGTATGGAAACTCATGTGGAGAAAATCTTGATGCTGGAAACTCTTGTCCAATAGGGAGAACCAGGAAATCCTGGACCTCAAGGTATTCAGGGAGCTGATGGATTACAAGGTTCACAGGTATGTTGGAATATTCCATTAATGTGGTTATTCTGATGAGAAGAACTGGATAGCTCTGTGAAAATAAGTAATTGAGAAATTTTTACTCTGTACCCTCACCACATTTATCATTTCTCATCGTGGGGGGTGATTTTGGGATTTGGGACCCACCAAACCTACTCCAACATTTGCAATTCTCAAATAAGCTTTTTATAAGAAGAAAGGTGTGTTCACCTAGTATTGTGTCGGGGTGTTTGTAATAATGAATGCTGGATACCTTAATATTATATTGGTAATTAATATTGACATCAATCAATTGGTTTTCTGTAAGTGAAATCCTGCATAGAGACTCCAATAAAGGAAAGTTAGTGAGAAGTCTGAGACTGTTATTCAGAGTACCTGAAGCTAAATATACAGGGAACATCACTTCTAGATTATGGCTGAGCTTTATGGGAGCCATTTACATTTCTTCGTGGTCTTATCATTAGTAATAAGGGCATCAAAAATTAGAGCAACTGTTTTGCTCTCTTCCATGCCAGAAAGAAGCCATGGTCATCCCTAGAGTATGGCTTTGTAACACATGGGTATTTAGTCACCTTATGGAGTCCACCTTGTATGGGGCCCACTTTAAGCTTGGACAGATCTGGGTGGATATTCTTATTCTAAGGTCTCATTTTTCTTCTAGGAAATTCCAGATTGTTAGTACCAAACTGGAATTTGGTATTCTCTTGAGTGGTTCTGGAGTCCCTGAAACAAGCCACGAGCCAGCAGGTTCTGGATTGAGTGATCATAGAATCAGTCTAGACCCATTTACAGGCTTTAGAGTGCAGGAGTTGTGTGACAATTACCTGCAACTCAGACACTCCACCCAGTAGCTCCCAGGCAGCCGGGGAATGCTTCCAGGTGGTATTTTGATAATGAGGAACATTATTTTGGGCTTCTTTTTCTATGCGAGAGAACTCTATGAGAACCATGCATCTGAAGGCAAATAGGTCAGAAAAATATACTTTGAATCCTCTGACAGGAGTTTGCTGCTAAAATGTTTCTTAGTGCTAACTTCAAACAACTTTGCTCTCTATTTAACACATTGTTAAGCAGGTAGGCCCAGGGAACCATCAGAAGAACCTATTTGTTGTTTGTGTCTTCCTTTTTATATGGGTTTTCTTTCTCCTCTTTGGTCTATTTTTATTTCTCCCTGTAGGAGAAGGATGAGGGTCTTATGCCCAAGGAAGGAATTCTATAAGATCTGTACCACTGAGTCTGGGCCTGTCCTCGGTGACTCTCCTAACACAGGCTTAATCTCCTAGTTAGAAGCCTTCTTGAGGGGTTGGATCATTGCTTTTCCTCTGTGTGTGTGTGGGGGGGTGCTTCAAAAGCACTCACCAAGAAAGTGAGCTTTGGGGCTGGGGTTGTAGCTCAGTGGTAAAGTGCTTTCCTAACACATGTGAGGCTCTGGGTTTGATCCTCAGCACCACATAAAAATAAATCAATAAAATAAAGGTATTGTGCCCATCTACAACTAAAAATAATATTTTTTAAAAAGAGATTTTTTATTGACATCATTGCCTTGTATTTCTTTTGTTACCACAAAAGGGGTCAAGTGGAAATCCTGGCAGGAAAGGAGAAAAAGGAAGCCAGGGGCACAAAGGACCTCAGGTGAGTGACTGAGACATTGTGGTCAATGGCTCCAACCTTTTCCTCTTACTGCAAAACATCTTCATATATTGTTTATTTTTAAATTATCTACATACGGATTATTTCACTTTTGCATTACTGTGGGTTATATTTTTAGCGCAGTTCAGATTACACGCCTAAGTCACGCCTCTTTTTCCTTCATGGGGTTTAACTCAGTACAGACCCACTTCATCAGCCTAAAGAAAGCATCTTACAGGCCAGGTGTGGTAACCATGTCGGTAGTCCCAGTAGCTTGGGAGGCTGAGGCAGGAGGATCAAGAGTTCAAAGCCAGCCTCAACAAAAGTGAGGCACAAAGCAACTCAGTGAGACCCTGTCTCTAAATAAAATACAAAATAGGGCAAGGGATGAGGCTCAGTGGTCAAGTGCTCCTGAGTTCAATTCCTGGTAACACCCTGCCACCCAAAGAAAGCATTGGCAGAATATAAATATGCTGAACCATGAACATTTCCTCCCAAACCTGATACATTATTGTACTACATTTTTCTACTTTCTCTAACTTCTAAAAATCATCTGTGCCATGCACATGTCTCCTTTGAGCTTAGATATTTAAACTTGAATGTGAGTGATTCCCTGCTGCTCCAATCTCTCTGATTCCTAAATCCAGCTCTTAAAGTTATCCACTGAATCTGCTTGTTTCCTGAGTAACAAGAGCTTAGATAGTGAAGAGTGTGTGTGAGACATTTTCTGAATCTGTCCAGTTCTTAAGCTCAGACAGCAAGAGTTCAGAAGGCGAGGGATGCCTGTATTTGCTCAGTCATCTTCCTAGAGGGTGTGTGAAAGACCCTCTTGCCCATTTTTAGATTGGAAAACTGCAATATATCCTGCATGCCATTGTGGGTGTGCACACAGGGTCATGCATACAGGCAGCAGCAAAGTGGCCCGTTCTGTCAAAATCAGTGCATTGCAGCGTCTCCCACGTTTGGAAATAATGTTTGTTGAGTCCGTAGTGACTTTCTCTTTCTCTCTAAGACCTCATATGGACTAGTGATGACCCAGCAGATGCAGACCTGTGGTCCTCTAAGTAGGATTGGGCCTTGAGTCATCTGTTCAGCCCAGATGCCTTCCTTTCCTGGGTGGCTGAACCCCTTGTTAAGGAGGCGTTAAGAGGCTGCTCGAAATGATATGAAGAAAAGTGAAACACTTCTAATGGGTTTTCTAAGAATGGCTGTGGTCTTAACTTTTGCATCTCTCCCCTTTTCTTTTCAGGGTTCTTCTGGGCTAGTGGGACCTAAAGGGAGCATTGGAAGACCTGGACTTACGGGGAGAAAGGTAAATGTTGTTTCTTATGGATTTCAAGCGCTAAGAGCAAAAGTACATGCCTCCTTTCTCTGATTTGTTGTTCATTTCACATGTGATGAATCCAAGCACCACCAGCATCTGCTAACCTGTTCTTTTCTTTACAACTGCTCACCTCTCCCTTTACTAGGAGAGACACTGATCTTGCCCATCTTGAGACAAAGCTGAGAACTCTTCTCAACTCCATGATTTCCTGAAAGCAGAACGTGCTTGGTGGCTGAGTCAGGTGGGGTGGGGGAACATCAGAACTCAAGTCTGTTCCTGTAGGTTGTCCTCTAAACTCAATCTACCATGCCAGGTGGCTCTGTTGGAAATGGTCGGAGAAAGTTATTTGCCTCATCAGAATCTCACTCCCCTGCTTAAAACCATCTGTCAGATTCCCTCACTGGGTCATCTTCAGGGGCCTGGGTCTGTGCAGTCATACAGAGCCTGAGATGGGCCCCTGCTTGATTTAAGGCTGTGCTCAATCCTGGAAATGCTTAATTTCTGAGCAAAGGGCCTGTTTTCCTTTTACACCGAGCCCAGCAAACTATGTCGTCAGAGGTCTCTTCCCCATGACCCTTGGGAAAATCTTCAAAGCTGAAGGTAGTAATAAGATAAATAAGTCCTGGGGAGCTGACATAAGCATTTTGGCTAGAGTTCATGGTACTGTATTGTATAGCTGAAATTTTGCAAAGAGAGTAGATCTTCAATGTTCTCACATTTAAGAAAGAGTGGTAAAAAAGAAAGAGTGGTAACGTCACTGGAAGAGAGGAACTCACCTCAGGACTAGAGGGATGCTTGACTGTGAAGGAAAAGAATTTCAGCATCTGTGGGCAGAGGTGCAGAGATTTATTTGGGAAAGCAATAGTAGACACTCAAAGGAGAATGCAGGCCATCTTGAGAGCAAGAGATGATGCTTTTGGGGTTTTCTGCTGCTTCTTTTAAAGGAAACTTGGTGAGGTGTGGGTGTGGGAAGGTATGTGAGGATGATGTTTTCAGGACCCTTAGGTTGGCGTGGTCTCTGTTATCTGATGGGTAGATGATGCTGTCAGGCCCCCAATGTTATTGGTTTCTTAAAATCTCCTCTATTAACTTACTCTATTTATTGGTGGACAAATTAACAGCCTGAAAAGTAATTATTCACAGGTGAGTGAACTTAGAACCTTTAAGATTTCCCAGATATTTGGGAATATCTAAAAAGCCTGGAAGAGCTTGAGGTACTTTAAATTAACATTGTATTTCCTTGCTCTTTCTTTATGTCTCCATTCTACCTAATTTCCTGATCTCCTCTATCCTACCTCAGTCATAAATTGAGGCAGTAGATGTGCTAACTAATGTGATGTGGGTAATAATTTCATAATATGTGTGTGTATCAGCATCATATTATACACCTTAAACCTACACAGTTTTGTCAATTACACCTCAATAAAGCTGCAGGGGGTGAGGGAGCAGCTTACGAGACCCCTTGCTGTTTACCCCGTTTAGTTGAAGGCTATTGCTCATCTTCCTCTGGTGAGCCATCTGGCCTGTCTCCACCTTCTTTTTACCTTCCTCCAGCTCACACAACATTCTTAGGGCTTAACTTCCCTGTTTCTTTCCCTTGGGTAGCCTCCCCAGGCTCACAAATCAGGCGTAGACTCCCCCTCTCTCTGCTTCCGTAGCACCTCAAGCTCTTAAAAAATTTTATTAGTGCATCATAATTCTACATAAAAATGGGACTCATTGTGACATATTCATGCTTTCACATAATATAATTTGATTAATTTCATTCCCCAGTATGTCCTCTCACCTTTTTCTTTCCTCCCTCTCCCAATCCCCTTTCTCTACCCTATTGGTTTCCCTTCTATTTTTATGAGGTCCCTTTCTTTTTTTTTTTTTTTCTATCTACCTTCTGACCCTTTACTATCTGAGTCTGGCTTATTTGAGTTCAACATGTTGCTCTCCAATTCCATCCATTTTTCTGAAAATGACAGAATTTCATTCTTTATGACAGAATGAAACTCCATTGTGTGTATATATACACCACATTTTCTTTATCCATCCATCTGTGGACAGACACCTAGACTGGTTCCATAACTTGGCTATTGTGAGTTGTCCTGCTATAAACATTGGGTATGCATGTATCACTATGGTATGCTCATTTTAATTTTTTTGGATAAATACCAAGGGGTCATATGCTCGTTTCATTCCCAGTCTTTTGATTTCCATAGTGGTTGTGCTAAATTACATTTCTACCAACAGCATCTAAGAGTTCCTCTTCCTGATAGACCACCTACATGCTAGAACTTGTGATTTGTATTCCATTTTTTTTTCTGGTACCAGGTATTGAATCCAGAAGTGCTTAACCACTGAGAGCCCAATTCTCTTTTCAACCAGACAACCTGCCCTTGTTGAGGGCAGGACCATATTTATCATGCTCAGTGGTTTATTTTCCAGGACATTAAGCAATTGTTGGATGAGCAAATGCCTCAGCAAACAAATCAACTTCCCCTGGAGTTCATTTTTCTACTCTTTGCTTCTCCTTCAGTTCTTTCATGAACACTGGGAAAGCAGTAACTTGAGTCGAGCTCTGGTCTGTGCTTGATATTTTTTGCTTTCCTTTGGGAAGATCATTACTTGTACCTGTCCCCCTGCTGAGCACTGATGGCACCCCTGCCTCACTGGGAACCTGGAGTCCCCACATCCAGGATAGAACATCCTTTGGTGGGAGCTAGGTTTGATTGTACTAATCTGAAGCTCTTCTTGTCTCATGGACTAGGGAGAACCTGGAGAACTTGGAGTTCCAGGGCCAGTGGGGCCGGCTGGACAGCGGGGAAAACAGGTATGAAATTTGAAATCCTTCCCCTCCCAACTTCAAGTGCTAAATTCTGAGATAAGGAGAAGGGGGCTGTCACTATTGGCACATGCATCTGTGGTATGGAAGGTACTTAGGCATCTGGGAAGATGTGGGGGCATTTCTCCAAATTTCTACATCTCTCTCTCTCTCTCTCTCTCTCTCTCTCTCTCTCTCTCTTTCTGTGAGTCTGCTCTATCTGTTAAAGTGAGGGAGAATAACAAGGGGGAGGCAGAGAGGATAATGAATGAGTTAGAATAGGGCATTGCAGTATTTTAGCAGTCAGTATGGCCATGTAGATACCTATTGCTGAACAACGAAACTTCCCCTTTCTCTCCTTATAAAACTCTAGGGCAACAACAGGAGATAGGAGGGTAGGGCCAAGAAAGAGAGCATCACCTTTTCAGGTTCACACTCTCTCCTAAGTGGCTCTGGTTGTACCCAAATCTCAGCTCTTGGAACACCAAATATTAGGATAATTATTTCACTCCTTTTAAAAAAAGTAACGTTTTTATTATAAACATGATGTGTACATATTATAGAAAATTTGCCAAGTATATTATTGACCACAGCTTAGATGCGGAATCAACCTAAATGTCCAAGTGAATGCATAAAGAAACATCACACACACACACACACACACACACACACACACACACACACACACAATTCCACTTTAAATAAAAGAAGGAAATCCTGTCATTTGTGTTTGAAAACGTGGATGAACTTGGATGACATTATGAGCGATGAAATAAGCCAGGCATAGAAAGGAAAATACTGTACCACATAATCTCACTTACACGTGAAATGTAAAAAAAAGGCAAACTCAGAGAAAATTGATGGTTCTCAGAGGCTGAGGGGTCGGGGACTGGGGTGATGTTGGTCAAAGGAGACCACATTTCAGACAGGAGGAATAAGTTCAAGAGATGTGTTGTACATCATGATGACTATAGTAAATCATAATGTATTGTGTTCTTGAAAATAGGAAGGAAGGAAAGGAAGAAGGGTGTGAGAGAGGGAGGGGAAGGAATTAACAAGTAACCACAGAGCCAGGAGCTCACAGAGAAATGAATATAAGGACACAGCAAGTTCCTGATCTGTTGCCATCTCCCACAGTCCACTGTCTCTACAAAGGCTTCCTGTCTTCCTTCATGGAAGTTTTTATCCATAAAAGTAAATCAGAGTGCTTGTAGAAATGGTCTGGCTTCTTCAGTCTTCAAAGTGCCTTTTCATGATCTAATTTGAAAACATGAATATTCAAAAAGGAAAAAAAGAAAAAAAAGAAAGGAAATTTACCAAGCTTAAAAATGGGCAAGGGATATGAAAAGAAAAATTTATCTACCATCTCATCATTTTGAGATTTTTTTATTCATATCCTGGAGATAGCAAAAAATAAAAATAAAAAAGAAGGAAGAATCACTTTATTTTCCCTTCTTCATAATGTATCATGAGCATTTCTTCCTAGTCTTGACAAGTCGCTACATTTTTCTCTCAATGACACTTAATAGTTTTCAAATATTCTACCTTAATTTATTTGCCCAATCTCTTATTATTAGAGATTTAGTTTTATTTCAGGTTTTCATTATCCTAAATAACACACCAATGAATATTATTATACCTAACTAAAATTTTGGACAAATGCAATGTGTTTGTGTGTTGTTATTTTTTTTGCCATGCTGGGGATCGAACCCAGGGTCTAGTGCTTGCTAGGCAAGGGCTCTACCACTGAGCTATATCCCTGCTCCATCTTCTACATAGAAGTTTCTAGAATTTGTATAGTTGGGTCAAAGAGTATGTACACGTTTAATTAGGCTTTGAATTCTACTTGTCTATGCCATTAGGAAAATTCAAACAATATATAGGTCCACGAGCAGGAGAATGTTTGGTTTAGGGCCCCCACACCAACATGGATATTTAACTTTGTTTTCCCATCTTTAACATTGACATAAATGTTATCTGTTCAATTGCATTTATTTGGCTCCTAGTGGGGATAAACACCTTTTCCCTGTATATCTATTTGCCATTTAGCATCATTCTTTGGGTAATTCCTCACCCATATTCATTGGATCAGCTCCTAAGTTTCCAATCAAGAAATGGCCACTGGGTCTGAGTCCTGAACAACCATCCTTCTATTTCCTGCACTGATTAGAGTGGAGATGGCTGAAGAAGTACCAAGGCATACCTCAGGAACTGAGGGAAACCTAGCAACACACATGTTCCCAGGGTTCAGGGTCACCAAGCAGGCCCCCTCCACCTGGAGGTCCACAGTGCTTCTCTACTGGTACTGGGTACATTTAGTTTTTTTCAACTCTGAGAAACTGAAATGATTTGGTGTGTTTACAGGGAGATTATGGCATCCCAGGTTATGGTAATAAGGGACAAAAAGGAGTAAAGGTAAGTATGAAAAACAATTCTTTTTTAAAAAATTGATAAATCAAGCCTAAATAATAACAGAAGAAACTGAGGAAATGGTATGCTGATTTATTTGTTTTCTGCTGAAAAATTACAGGGTCCAAGAGGATTCCCTGGAGATATAGGGCAGAAGGTACTGTGCACATGAACTTCTTTTGTAATTATCGTGATCTTCACCTTCTTAAGAGTTAAGGTTGTAGGTCTGAATGCAGTGGGAAGGTGGGGGCTGGGTGGGAGCAGTGCAGTTGTTTCTCCCAGAGCTTTATGACTCCTATGAATCTTTGTATTGGAAAAGATAGTCCTGTCCTTCATTGCCTGAGGTCCCACACCTTGAAACCCCACCTAAGGTACCCTTGGTACTTTAGTTCTTCCTTCTTTTCATGATTTCTCTGCCTTTGTTATCTCATTCACTACCTTGGCTATTACTACTTGCCCTTCATTATTGCATTCTTTGTTTCCTCTTGGCTGCAAGATGAGAATAGTTTTCTCATTGATCTTTTTAAAAATTTATTTATTTATTTATTTATTTATTTTTGCTTTACGATTAGAATAAAGGACACAGAGATCTAACCCACAAAATTACAACTACCTTATATTAGACGGAGGTGCCAAAAGCATGCACTGGAGAAAGGATAGCATCTTCAACAAATGATGCTGGGAAAACTGGAAATCCATATGCAACAAAATGAAATTGAATCCCTATCTCTCACCATGCACAAAAGTCAACTCAAAATGGATCAAGGACCTAGGAATCAAACCAGAGACTCTGCATCTAATAAAAGAAAAAGTAGGCCCTTTTTTTTTCTCCATCACGTGGGGCTAGGCCCCAACTTCCTTGATAAGACGCCTATAGCACAAGAATTAAAACCAAGAATCAACACATGGGATGGATTCAAACTAAAAGGTTTTTTCTCAGCAAAAGAAATAATATGTGAGGTGAACAGGAAGCCTATATCCTGGGAACAAATTTTTACTCCTCACACATCAGATAGACCTCTAATCTCTAGGGTATATAAAGAACTCAAAAGATAAGCACCCCAAAAACAAACAATCCAATCAATAAGCGGGCCAAGGACCTGAACAGACACTTATCAGAAGAGGATATACAATCAATCAACAAAAATATATGAAAAATTGCTCATCATCTTTAGCAATCAGAGAAATGCAAATCAAAACTACTTTAAGATACCATCTTTGATCTTCTATTTTGATCTTTTCCCTGCTTCTGTTGGTCCCAAATACTACAGTCACTGGATTTTCCCCAAAGCATAGCCTCACTATGCTCCTTCCTTCCTTCCTTCCTTCCTTCCTTCCTTCCTTCCTTCCTTCCTTCCTTCCTTCCTTCCTTCCTTCCTTCCTTCCTTCCTTCCTTTCTTT